AGTGTCATTAGCTGTTTGCGTGCCAGTTTCTGCTTTTAATTTATGTCACAAATTATTATGTTATCCTATTATTCCACATCAGCAGGCCACTGTTGAATATGTCCACCATATCAAATCAATGTAAGACTCTGAACAGGACTTTTAATCACATCCTGTCTGGCTAAATAAGCAGTGGTTTGGAAAACCAAATAGCTCAGTGATTACATCAGAGCCAGACACAGCAGCTCCTACCTAAATCTAATTTGAAAAACATCTGTCTGTTGTAATTAATTCATTTCTTCCTCTGTATTTAACAGTGGCTTCTTTCATGAGAAATGAAGTCACGCTTCGGATGCTTTATAATTCTGGTGTCTTGCCAGCCTGGTTCCTGGGACAGTATTCAATCTTGACCTTTATGATATTGTGCCTGTTGGATATTTAACTGCACCATACTAAAGATGCATTTTGTAGTGGCTTCCAACAGCCGAGTTATTTAAAGAGCATTTTTGATTTTATGTCCCAAATACGAGCTCCGCCTCCAAAGTAGAGCTGCAGTTGTCTTCTTTTTACCACAGTGCCATCAACATCCAGATGAAAATGAGGATTCATCTTTGAAACACTCAATTCTTCTTCCTCATGTGCCGATCTGAGTTCATAGAGATAGAAAAATATATTCTATACTTTCTACGGAGACAACTATATAAACGTTTTTTTGATTTTTTAGTCGTCAAACTTAAGCTTTTGAGTTTCCCCTCATACAAATTGTGTACGCATAAAGATGTACTATATATATATATATATATATATATAAAAACAAAAACAAAACCTTCATCTCCATCTTAGAAATGAGCCAAGCAGAAGCACATTTTAATGATAGAGTGACTTATGGCGGCAAAACATGGGACAACACAAGGTTTGTCTTCTCTGTCAGAATAAAGGAAAAATATATGACTGACTCGAGCGAGATGAGAGAGAAAATGTGAAATGTAACATCAGCGGTAAATGATCCATTCACCCTAAAACACTTCAAAACAACTATTGGCAATGTACCATGCATTTTCTAGGTTCATTTTCTTTTCTTTTTTCCCCCCCGTTTTTAGTTCAGCTAAAATGCTCAATAGGACAAAGTTTGTGTGTGTTGAATGTCAAATTTGAACCATGTAGGAAATGATGATTTTTTTTTTTTTTTTTTACTGACTTTTAACAATAATTCAAGAGGAAATCAATTATGAACAGGAAAACATGCCAGAACCAAAATGCCACATATATGCGTTAGATTCACCTTCAGCTGCCTGTCGGGGGTTGTTAGTGTCATCAAAGCAAAGTGACGATGAGACGACAAGAAAATCAAGAAAATAATTCCACCTAAAATATCTATTTTATAGTGAAATACCTCGACAACTACTGGATGGTTGGCCATGAAATTTGGCACAGGTATCCATGCTGCCGAGAGGAAGTTCGAAGCGATATTTCTCAACATCTACTTGTTAGACTGGCACGAAGTCTTGTCCTGAAGTTCATGGTTTCCAGATGATGGACCCTCAAGAGTTTCATGTTCTCTAGCGCCGCCGTGAGGTTTTCATTTGTTGGTTTTAAGCGAGATGTCTGGACAAATATTGGATAAACTGCCATGAGATGTGGTTCACACATTCATGTTCCCCCTCAGGATGAATTCTAATAATTGTCGTGATCACATAACTTTTTATTTATTGCCGTAGTAAGTACAAATTTTGATCCTCCAATACCTTGGTTTATGACCAAATAGCTATAAAATTGACATTCCCATCAGCCTCAGCTGTAGTTTGTATTGGCTGTCATGCGGCCCCTGAATTGGGAGACAATTCATGTCGTTGTGAGCATATTAGCATGTTGACTTTAGCATTGAGGTCAAAGCACTGGTGTGCCTATGTATGACCTCACAGAGCTGCTGCAGCTGTAGAGTCGTACTGGTTTCACTCGTGTGCTCAGTATTGGTCTATAAGTGGCATCTGGCAAAAATCAAACAAAGTGATTGATGGCAGTTATTCAAGTGAGTGTTGATGATTACAAATTGAAGGGCTCTCTAAAAATGCTGTCAGCTGATAATACAAGGATGTTGTTTGTTTGTCTTCCACTGTTTTTTTTTGTTTTTTTTTATCGTTTTGACATGATCTTATCCATTCTTCCCTCTTCAGAGAACTTTGTCATAAAGCTGTCAAACACTCTCCATAAATAGAATTGATTTCATGATTATATTTCTGACAGTGCTGGGCTCACTTCCATTTCAGTTCAATCAATTTGGCTGAATACTGAAGTGGTAAAGTCGTTAGGAAGACAGCCGTCCCTCACACTGGAAACATGAGGATTTAGGCTTCGACCGAGGTCATTACTCGACCTTGAAAACCCTGAGTGGAGTTTGTTTTATGAATGCACATAGAGAATGAACTGACCAATACATTTCCTTTACTTCATCATTTACCGTGGAAAGATTTCACTATTTAAGGATGAGAAATCTGCAGTAAATGAAATACAACTCATCATGGAGACGGCGTTGGTGTTGCTCCTACACGTTAGGACATCAAATTGTATTTTCATACAAAAATACTTTCTTGGGTCGATAACAGCCTGGAAGTTAGAGCTGCCTGAGAAGCCGCCTTCTAAAATATTCATACAGTTGCAAGGACATTTGTTCGCCAAGGTCACAGGTTTTCACCAGGGCTTGTGATAGTGCCTCTGAATTTAAAAAGTTTTTCCATTTCTGCCGGAATATCGCAGGGAAAATTACAGGTAATTTTAAATGATATAGGCGCTGCTTTTTAATGATTCTAAATTTGTCAGAGGGACTGTCAAATTCCTACTGTAAACAAAAGCTAAATACATTAGTTTTGCATGAAATTAGATAAAGTAACCACTTTACATCCACTTTATCTGCCTCCCCCCCCCCCTCCGTGCTGCTCGGCTGTAATTGATGAAGAATGTTACTGAATGAGTACATTAGGTGTAAAATGTGTGTTTATATCACAGTGCGCTCATGTATAGGGCTCCATCAATTCCACTTATTCTCCTGTGATACCAATTCTAAAACCTCAACTCAGGATATAGTTGATTTTTAACACACTCTGCAGAGCTCAGGATATTTTAATGTAAAGTAACATGGGGCCAGGGCTTCATGTAGCACGGCATAATGGAAACATAGAAGTTTATAATGACACGTAACTCTTTAATGATTTCACCCATAAAAGCAGTTTTTAAACCGATAACGATACTTCTCTTGTTAATCATGAGTCGTCCGTTAAAGGTGAAGGTGCATCTCTACCAAACATCAGGGTGTTTACAGCAAATGTTGACATTTAACAAGCTGCAACAATTTCTTGTTTTATGTAAAAATGGAATATTTTACACATTCATTCTAATGTGGATTTATCACCTCCAGCCGATCGAGAGAAATCGACTTAACAAGGTCCGTATCGGCCCCGACACTGATCTGATTGGTGCATCCCTACTGGTTCATAGAGATTTTACCAAGTGACATAACCTGAGTGCATCAAATGCGCAAGGCAGAGTTTTTGGAGGTGGCTGTGAAATGTATTTTGATACCACAGCTTCATATTTTTCCATATTTCCACACCTTCAAACCAATTATTTTTGATTTCAGACACATTTGAAATGCGTGCACTGTTTCAAACACACAGCCCGACCCCAAGGCAAGGACACTTGAGCCTGTTTGGATACAAGATCTCTCCTATCACTCGGTAATTTAGTCATCGTCAGTCACCACCCTGCAACCCTTAATGACTAAAATAATACAACACTCCAATCTGGGATTACATAACACTTGTGGCCGACTGAATATAATCAACAGTTATAGTGCCACATTGATCAAACAAGGAACCGAGCAGGGAAACAAGCCTGTGTCACATTTTAACACTTCCTCTCTCTAATCCTAAACCCTGAAACTCTCCTGGATTACTTTAAACCAGACGGTATATTGAGACGTACAGAGGCCATTAGGAAGAGGTGATCGTTGGGGACGAGGTAATCTTATATGAATATATGAATATCTCCTTACGGCTGCAGCCTGACAGCAATTAGAGCTGCAGCTCCCTCTCCCCTCTGGGAGCGGATCAGCCCAGCCGTGTGCTTTTTGATTGTGAGGCTTTGATGAACCAAATCCACTGCACACGACACGTGCCCCCTGCCATAGTCTCATCATACAGAGGTAGGGGTTGGGGCTCTCTTTCTTCCTCCACTGCCTGCAGGGTTTTATGATGGCAAGGTGTTTGGTGTGGCGATGAAAGCCCCCACCGTCCCTTTTTCTGCAGACTCAAACATGTTCACTTGTGGCTGGATTATTGATATTATGATATCCTGGCGCTTTCCTGAGGCTTATTGGCTTGTTAAAGGAAGGGTGGGGGGGGGGGGCGTCCTTGCTTTTCCATTGCTGGAGGGTGGAGTTAAGCACTGATTGATTTCCAGACGGAGCCGACACAGTGCATCACGCGGAGCAGAGGAGGAAAGCCCATGGTAACCTAATAACGTCCTCCCCACAGTAAACTGCGATAACTGCGTTATGTAATGGTGGTGGCGCACTGTTTTATGAGAGTCAGCAGGGTACTGACAGCCTGCTAGTTATGGGTCCTGAAGTGTGTTGAAAACCTCAGCCCCTACGTTTGTCCCCATATTGTTTTCTAACATAAAAGGTTCTTCCTTGTTTTTTTTCTTCTCCATACTGGGAGAATCCAGACCTTTGTACTTTATCTGAACATTCGCCTCGGCTCCATAGACGTGTGTGTTAAAGCCTTATCAGCAGAGAACTTCCAATCCCTGTTCAATGAGAGCATTTAGAGACTTGCCTCTTGACATTTTCATCACTATTAGAAAAAGGGTCTCAGGCTTCTTTTCTTTACAGGCTGAGGGGATGTTACTTGTGATCTTTTTTCTTTTTTTTTTGCAGACCTTTCACCATCAGTAATGAATGCCCTGTTGGTTAAAAATGCTTTGAAATGCAAATGCAGAACATTATAATTACCATGTTACTACAGATTAGCATTAAAAGGATAATGCATTTTAACTTGTAATATTCTGATTTTACAAAAGTAAATGCTGGTATATTGTTTGAAAACTGAGGTCATGAGCCGCTCTGCCTCGCTTCCTATCATCCCTCTACTGTTGGCTTTTTGATAACGGCATTAAATGTCCCCAAAAGTTTCAGTCGTACCAGTAATAAAATGTTTGGAAATGTCATTTTTATAAATGGTTACCAGGCTGGCAGCCAGATGTCACCCCTTGGTTCCCAAAGGTGACGAATTGTTTGGCCCATTTTGGAATATTAAGAACTGAAGTGATAACCGTGCTGCATAATTAAACCCCATGTTTAATTTATGAAGGGGTTATACATTCTGGATCTAGAATGGTTTTGGTTTCTGTTACAGACCCACAAGCACAGGTGAAAATAAGTGGCTCAGATCCACCAATAATACCAAATATCTGCAGCCGCTTCAGGCCGGATCGGGTCTGTAGTTTGTTGTTGTGATTATGAGAAAGAAGTGAATTTGAGAATGTAATGTTGGATGTTGGATGGATTCCCTCACACACTGTGTAGTGATCATTTTAACAAACAAATTACACATTTTGATGCAGACTTCGCTCAAATTCAAACTCACTTTTTGTTTGTGTTTTGCAGTCTGGGGGTGTTTTTTTTTTTGATGATGATGATGATAGATTATAGATCGACTTTTTCACACCATATGTTACTTGTTTTGTTGTTTCATTTGAACAACACAGAAGATTCTGCGCCATCTGTTTGGGATACATTATAGAAAGACGTGGGCAGCCCAATAGATCCAGCGACAACAGCTGTCACCTCTTGGTTATTAATGTCCAGGAGATTGAATGGCACCAATGATACGTCTTAACTTCCCTGCTGTCTGCACATGTGAAAGCTTCTACTGTGCATCAGGACAACATACAATATATGACGATATTTCATCACAGTGCAAATTCTTTCAAAGTGTAATTGTAACGTTTTTGTGTTGTTTTCCTCAGACACTGATGACTCTGGTTGTGTGTTACTGAACACGTCAAGAAGGGTAAGTGTAAATGTTCACTGAATCAAATGTACTGCAATATTACTAAAAAGAAAAAGGTGAATTTTGACTTGAGCTTCAGAACCGACTGCAGCTCGGTTAACTGCTCTGATTTAGTGACAAGATGTAAGTTATGCACCTAAAGTCTGGAAGAACAGCCTGTAAAAAGAAGCTGCAGAGCACCGAAAGTTTTAATCGTGGCAGTGGAACAAATAAATATTGTGCAAAACTTTGGAATCGACTTCATTTGAAACTTCTGCATATTTATGAGAGAAATAATTCTCAGCCTCAGCGAGTTGAACATACAGCCGGTTGGCGGGATGATGGCTAAATTTATTAGAGATCTTCCCCAAAGTAGTTTAGCAGTTGTGCACCAAATGGGTAGCGCCTCCTTAATATGTTTAAACTTAAAGTACGCCAGGGTACAGACAGCATTTTGGATGACGTAATGATGATGAGGTGGAAAGACCAGAGGAGATAATTTATAGTCTTCCTGACTGAACTCATGCAAAGCTTTATCACATCACTGGATGTCCTAATCAAGATAACTTCACAAGCTTTCTACTTATATTTTCCTGCACACTTTTAATAGCCCGCAGCTACAAAGCACACACACTGAAGTACACTGGTGTTCGTAAAAATCAATACAACCTATGTGAGATATGCTCGGCAGCTGAATAACTCAGCCGTCGGTGTGTATATCTTCTGTGAAACTGCTGTCCGCTGCCGTTTATGTTTCCATGCCTCTCCGCTGGTGACTGGCTCATACGTTTGGTTTTAGTGTTTCATCGAAGGCATTGACACATTTATGATGGATTATGCAACAGCTGGCTTTAACACACGTCGCATTTCACATGATGAGGCGTTTTAAATCTGAAGATGTAAAATATACCTGGACCATGCTGACGTTGATTTCACACGTAGAAAATCCAAATTGCATCATTATTGTTTGCTGATCCAGTTTTTTTGGCGTTTTAGGATGTTGAGAATTGCTCTCCAGCTGTAGAGATGTGTGTCTCTTAACATCCACCCTGAGGTTTTATGTGTTTACCATTTCTCATTTTCTACGTCATTCTTCTGCGATCTTAATTAATTCTTTTGAATGAGCACTTTGAGCCATTTCAGCCAGACGTCTTCATTCGTGTGGCGTGGAGAGACCTGTGACCTGTCTGCATGTTTCCTTCCAAACAAACACAATAGCAGCTGATTTCATTGATTGTCACGTTACGTTCAGTCAGAGAGGAGGGACTCAAAAATCACATCAAATCAACCTTTATTTTCATACCGACCTGCCCTGAAACATATGCTTTACAACATATGTAACATAGTAGACGACTGACATATCAATAGATCAAACAATAACACAAAAGATAGACAAAAAGGTTTGTTACTGTGAGAATATTTGAATGTATTTCTAAGGTCGATCTGAATGGATTCACCAGGTGAATTCTTAGCTTAAAATGTATGACTTAAAGCCCCTCAAATCCTGTTGTCTGCTGGTCCAGAGGTAAGCTGCTTCCTGTAAGTCTTAGTCCTGGCCCAGAGACCAGAATACCATCAGAGGAACATTTGGTATTAGCATATACTGGCGCTGAAGACGTACTTTAAATCAGCAAGTTGAGGGATTCGGTGCTTTAAAGTCTGCTCTCAGTGACAGGACTTTAAAACAGGTGTAATGTGTGCTCTGCCTCTGGACCCCAACCCTGCAGTTTTATCTCAGGCTTTCCAGGGTAGACCAGACAAGAGAGAATTACAGTAAACAGGCTTGCTGGTGATGGAGGGTTATACTGCGGGAATATCCTAAAATGATGTGGATCAAAAGACTCAGAAACTTCGAACTAACAACTAAATTGATGCAACGCTTCCCTCTCTGTGCATTTGCACCGATAACTACAAGTTCTGTCTCAGATCTCTGTTCACCTGCAATAAATTCTGTGAAATTGTGGACTGATCTGTGCAAGCGACCACTCTGCAGGGTAATGCCTTCAAAATTAAAATAACATCAACAGATTTGTGTGTGTGTTGCACTGGCGATGTTTCTCTACCTCCACTGTCGAGGGAGTTTACAGCAGCACCCAGAGGGCAGAGGTTTAAACTGGTGACCAGGGCTGTCAAGAGTCTGACTTCCTCAGATCAAGCCTGTCAGAGATTCAGTTTGTTGTGCCATGTTCTTGCCAACAGCTTGCCTGGTTCTCTCTACTAATCTCCCCATTCTGTATTACAGTTCTGTTTGTTTGCGCTCTCCTTCTGTTTTTTATCATTCTCACATGCTCACATACAGAACTTCCCCCGCCAAGAATTTTGTTATGGCTCTTGTTTATTTGGATTGCTCTATATTTAGAATTAATTTTGATATGGTTTTGTTTCCGCAACAGCTGCGTCCTTTTTCATTTTCTATATTAACAGCTCAAGAAATCTCCCCACAATTGAACTCTGTCCCGATGCTCCGTCCCCCACGCACGAAGCACAAGACCACACATTTTGCACGGTGCCAGACGACTAGAAATAAGTCTCAATCAATGCCAAATGAGTTCAGTTTATTCTTAACCTTTTAATCGCCTGAGGTTAAAAAGACCGTCACACCTAAGGCTTGACAGGACAAACAAAACAAAAATCACATTTATTTATAGAGCTCCACACACAAATAGCTCCAAAGGCTCTAGACGTGGCCCCGCTGCTCGGTTCTTGTTCTATTTTAAAAAGAACAGCAGGGAATCCACTCAGCTTCAGAATTTCTGTCAATCACGCGATCAATTAAATGGAGGACCGGTGGATGTCTGAGCTCTTAATCGAGCTGTGTTCATCTTTCTGTCCATTCGTCTGTGATTCAGGTAATTCTCAGACACCAGCGGTCCCATTCTGATGAACTCTGGAGGGGTGAGGGGTGTTTGAAAAACTGCACTATTTGCCTCAGCGGGGGTAGTGTGGAAGGATACTTTAAGGTCAAAGCTCTAGGGCGCTCTCACCAGCTGTAGTGTAGACCCAATCAGACGTTTCCTGATATAAATGGCTCTTGCTCTTCACCCGTGGATCTTAAGATTCAGGCCCACTGGAGCTGCTGTGCTACATGAAGAAACTTAAAATCTTAAGCTTGCATTGGTGGCTTTGTAGCCTGGTTCCAGACCTCCGAAAATCTGCAGCCACATCTCCAATTTATTCAATGATTCACATCGTTGCCCACTGACAGCCCGTTTGAGCTGGTTGGATAAAGCGTTAACCGAACAGAGCTTCGTAGGCTCTGACTGGGAAGGGCAGCGTGGGTAGCTTGTTAGCCACATAGCTGCATCCGTGACACACAGCCACAGAGTCACAAACACGGTGACAAAGCAACAAGAACGGCAACATTTGGGAAATTATGTGGGGATAAAATCAGGCTTAATCTATTCAGTGTCTGCAAAGCTTTACAGAGATTACATTTCTTTGATTGTCCTATAAGAAATGTCAAGTTAAAGGCTCCTAAGAATTACAGAGGTTAGCAAGTTTAGAAATACATAAACCACGGCAAACACACAACCAATGTGAGATAAGAATTCTCTCCTCGTCTCTCCTCCACAGTATGTGAAGCTGATGAACTTTGAGGAGGAGGTCCGGGCGCACCGGGACCTGGATGGCTTCCTGGCGAGGGCCAGTATCCTGCTGGATGAGACGGCTGCCTCCCTGGACGACGTCCTGAAGAGAATGTTGCACCACGTGGGTCAGGACAGCCACTCGTCCGAGCCCAGCTGCAACTTCGAGGAGGTGATGAGCATGCTTTTCACAGACGCGGGCGCCCAGGAGGTCAACGGTAAGCAAAGGGACCCCGTCCACGCGCTTGTGTGAACCGGCATGTAGCAACATGTGTGAATATGCGCTCACCCACACACACAAATAAAAAAAACACAATATGACAGAGAACTTGTAGACTTAAGACCCCACAACATCTGACCCCTGACCTAAAAGCATCTCACGTCTGCACATGTCGACTCCGACATGAAGAACAGCTTCCTCACGCTCAGGAGCAGAATTGTCAGATAGATCTGAGAGATGGACCAAAAAACGCTTTTAAAGACCCAAAAGAGAGTTTGTGATGTTTGAACCGAGGCCGTCCATTTGCCCCGAGGCTTTGTTAAGTGGACGCAAATAAAGCTCAGTGTGCTGAGTCGCCGTGGCAACCATTTACACGTGCAGACATCAAACGTTTCCCAGGAAAACTGTTAAGAGGTTATCCTACGTGCAGATACACACACACACACACACACACACACACATCCAGATACAAACTCCGCGGAGAACAACACGGCTGACAATCAAGGCGAACAGAATCCTGCTTCCTGTTCATGGCTGAGCTGTGCTGCACTGTTCCTCAGATAATTGAAAATGTTTTTTGGTTTATTTGCTTCTCTGTTGCAACCAGGTGCCATTTAAATGCAGCAAAATGTTAAATCAGTTAAACATTTTTTGTTTCATATTTCAGGGGGGGAAACAAAGGCTTTTTATTGAAATTCAGAAGACTGCCAAAACCTGCAATGATATTCATTATTATTGCAATAGTTTTTGCTTGCGCACACATGAGCCGCATACACATTAATCTTGCTATTTGGACTTCTTCCCTGTCACATTCAGCACAGGTCCTTTTGGCTGAGTAAGAGCAAAGCCTCTTGGTTAAGGCGAATCTCCTCAGCCCATTAGAGCAGGAGAAAATCCGCCCTCTTACATAACAGTATGTAGCCATTGTTGAATCCTTCTTCCTCCGCCACAAGCTGCACTGAATGCCGCATTTACAGAAGCAGTTATCTGGCGAATCAAACTTCTCTTTCCTCCCAGTTAAAGACACAAAGAATTGGTGATATATACATTTTTTTAATCATCACATTTTGTCTAGATATGAAATGTTTGTTGAAAGCGTCACGAGGGAATATATTTCGGGAAGACGCCATGGCGCTCATCCCCTCCGGTGGAGTTACACTTGAAGAGTGTATGTAAAGGGTCACTGAAGCTCAAGCCGCCCCGGAGGCTCGCGGTGGCCCAACACCTCCACTGAGACACTTTCTGTCGGTTCCTCCTCTAATCTGTCGCCCATCTGTACGTGTCCAGTGTTTTCTCTGTCTGGCGAGGCCGGTGTCCGCAGTTGTTGATGGTTAGTCAGAGGTGGGCGGTGTGCGAGCTCGCCCTGCACAGCCGCCTCTGACAGATCGGCGAGGTGATAATTGACTTCTGTCATCGATCACTCACTTAGCTTTTCAAATGGCTCTCTGAGACTCTCAAGCTGTGGTGGCTGCTGCTACTTGACTCTTTCTCTCCCAGAATACCCCATGAAGAGGCAAAGGAGGAGGAGGAGGGTGCTTCTTCTTCTTCTTCTTCTTTTTTCTTTTTTCTTTTTGTGGCTGCCATCTTAACAAAAAGGCTTCCAGTGCAGGTCTGGCCTGATTTGAAAATCAATTTGAGCTTTTAGAGGTTTATTATAAAACAAAAGTTATTTACAGCCATAGATTGACAGTTATAGTTGGTTCACAAAACTAATATCTGCACGTATCATCATATGATAGCACTGTGTTGCTTTGTTTATAAAGTTTTCACAAATTAAGATGTGGTAAATATTATCATATACTGCATCTTTAAACCATGGAGATACAGTAATATTTTACTTGCATATATTGTGCAACAATAAGCAGTGTTTTAAATCAGCTGAAACTTGTGTTATCACTCTTGGGAAATTAATTAGTTGCACCAGAAGGAACAGGATAATAGTAGATGAGAATTGGGTGATAATTAATTGTGCTGAGGATGAATGATGTAACAATTGTACAATTATGCAACAAATAAAGACGGCTAAGATTTACAGTTTGAAAAGTGCAAATGAGCAGCGCCACTGTGCTGCAGCTACTCAATCATATTTACAGATGGATGTGACACAAAGAAATATTTAGAGAAGCAGCAGAAAAGACAGTAATGAATATGAAGCATTTATCTTAGACATTGTGCAGCGTACGGATTCCGGTTAACTACGGCTCTTTAATTATGTAAATTTTAATTATTACATAAGAATGTGCAACACTTCAAAAGGCGGATCTCTTGTTTTTCTCTCTCTCTCTCTCTCTCTCTCTCTCTCCTCAGTGTGTTGTTTAGGTGTGAGTTCAGAGTAAGAATCCCGGCGTCTCCGGTAGGTTTCCCCGAATTAAAAACCGTGAACATTCACACGTGAAACTCTCGTGTCAGGGGAGAGAAGTGAGTGCGTTATCGCCGGGGACGCATCTCTTCAGGTATTAATTTCTGTCATATCTGCGTTCGCTCTGCCACAGCGGGGTGATACGGATGGCGAGCGGACCAGCTCATTTGGAGCGTAATACTGTACAGCTGTGAGATAAAGAGAACAGGGCGAGATTATAACAGGCACAGAAAGAACAGAGAATTACAGAAATGAAAAAGATGAAAGCCCACAGAGATAATTAGTCCTGCTCCAACTTGTACAGAGGACGATTTTTGGAGGCCAACTTGTGCTGTGTCTCTTTTTTTTTTTTTACTCACTTTTGTCTTGGGATTCGGTGGAGGAGCACAGTGCTGTCGCTGTGCAGAAGAATAATGAACAACACTGCTGATGATGCAATGCATTGATAATAATATTACTTAAGTCACTAAACCTGCTTCTAATAAGTAAAAAAATAAAACCTACATCAGCCTTTAACGTACTTTATCTAAACATATATATGATTATAAGACGCTGAAGATGATGACGTTGCTTACAAAGTGATGAGCGGCTGCCACACCATGAATAATTGTCAATATTTTGAGTAATGATGTTCTGTATAATTGTATTTCCCTCTCTTCCTCTGTGGTGCTGTTTGCAGCTACAGTGCTCGGTGCTGTGTGCGCTGCTGATTGTGTGCCCTGTTTGTGATGACTGTGCCATAATTTCTTCCTAAATTGCTGTCACCTTTGATCGATCTCGCCGGCTCTCCACTTCGTCTCCATTTGCATAATTCTCCTGTGTTATTGCTTTTTTTATTTTTTATTTTTTTTATTCTTATTTTGCCAACTCAAATCAAACTGAAAAACAGTCACATTTTTATTTTTAAAGCTGCAAAGGTGAGACCTCCTTCTTGTATGTGTTCAAAACTATCTTAAGAAATGTTCTAACCCTTTCGCCCTTCAGCTCTCATATAACCTGTCTAATGATTTCAAAAATGCATGAGCGTCTGTGTAACTAAGAGGTTTATTACTTATCTGTATTTCCTTGTTTCCAAAGAACATACTTTGTGCAGACACATGTTCTCCTCCCCGACAACAGGTACTCTAAATATTCTGGAAATAATTAGCTCCGTTCAACAGGAAAGGTGCTGTGTATTTTTGAATCAGCCGACTCTGCCTCTCCATTATAATAATATATCTTTTCCAGGCCGGCGGCGTGACTTTTCACTGTGAAAATCTCTCTGTAACATTCAGCGGGAATGATCAGAATACTAAATTGAAGCCATTAATTCGAGCTCTTTACCACATGAAAAAAAAAAAAAAAAAAAAAATGGTGGCCACACATGTCATTTTTCTCGTCTTGATCTCTTCATTGACGTCTTTGGGTTTCTTTGCAGTAGCTGGACACACGGCTGCTATCGGTGATAAAATCCAATTTTTGGTAATAGCCTGTAGACGGTAATCAAGATAAGATCTCTCTGCTCCCAACAAAGACGAGACATTGAGGGATATTCTCTGGAATATAATATTTAATATGCATGAGGTAAAGGAGGGCAGGAAATGAAGCTTCTGTTCAGCAGAGATATTTATGTGCGTGCCTGTTAACCAGAATGTGTGTCTATATATATGTGTGTGTGTGTGTGTGTGTGTGTGGTCGCAGTGTGTATTTGAGTGTCTGTTTGTATAAAATCTAAGTAACTGTTGATCAGAAAAGGTGACTGAACTGACTCTCTGGTCTCTCCTCTTTGGTTCTTCTCGTCCTTCTCCCCCACGCAGACAAGTCTCAAAGTTTCGTTTTCTTTGATGACGGTAAGCTGTGCTAATTGGATGAAAATGTCAGCATCAGCCGCCGTGAGGCTGCAATCAGTGGTTTGCTTCTGTACCAATCACCATCAGTATGCCGTTTGTGTTCCCCTCCACACTCGGGACTGGGTCGATGCATTGAGTCATCAAATGATTACAGACACCAGCAATCCCCTCCCGTGTCATAGATATCGATGCCTCTTGAGCTGCTCCTCAAATCAACGCCCTCTCCGTCCAGTGGACTCCTTGTCCCATAATGTTATCAGCTCTTTTTGTAAAGCTCCGTGAAAAAAAACCCCCCAAAAAAACAGCTGAAAATGACAAAATTAATAAATCAATTTGATTGAGATCAAAGGGATAAAATTCAAATAATTTAATGGGTGTCATTGGCTTTGGAGTTACGTCTTTGGTAGAAAAAAAAATGGATCTTATATTCAGGTAATTCGGTTTTTGTCATACATACGATACTTGACTTTGATACTAAATCCATGTAGGGCGATGGTTTATGCACCATTTATGTCATTTGTTTTAATGCAAGCTGGTAGAAGATTAGGACGACAGCCTCTCTAGATAACAAGGTTTCACCGTTGACCCAGTCCTAGTGGCCCTCTCATCAGCATGTGACCACATTGCCTCTGTGTGCTGCATTGTGATTGGCTGTGATGGATACCCAATATACAGTAAGTGTTTCATCTGCCACTGCTGTATGGAGGCCTCCTGTGTTTTAATCACCTCCTTCAAAGCGCCCTGCACAGCCCAAGCTTTGAAGGCAACCAATCACTCCCCATTGTGCGTGTATGTGTGTGTGTGTGTGTGTGTGTGTGTGTGTGTGTGTGTGTGTATTCACCGGCAGGTTTACCAATGGTTGAGGCCACAGTTAATCTTCTAGGCAGCATAAGATCAGGAGGTTTTATTGAGGTCACCTCTGAGCATAATGTGAGGAGTCTCCTTGCTAAAAAGGACTCGTGGCCCTTTCACACGCCGACAGAGAAACCATGAATCTCTGTGGATCTCCTCCCGCTGATGTTAGACCGGCACATCAACCAGAGGAAATATGAACGACATTGCAGTTTTTCGACTGGTTTAGCATATTTATTGATTCGTCTCTTCTCACTTGTAACAGACTGCATTATCCTCATGTGATTTACAGAAATGGCAATCTGCTCCCCCCCCCCCCCCCCCCCCAACCAAACCGTGGGGATATAACCCAGTTAAAGAATTCACCAAGAATCACCAAAGATCAAAGGGGGGCAATCCAGCCATCCAGTCTGGCCTTCCTCATATTTTTTCATCACTTTCCATTGAAGTTTGTCACATTTGATATGCTGCGTGTGAACATCTGTGATTGTTTTTCTCTCTCTCTTTTCTGCATGTGGATGCATAGCGAAAGCTGACGAAACCGTGCGGAAATCTTCACGTAACATGACAAGTATCAAATGTGCGTGTCTTAATTAGTGTCCCACTTGATCACACTGATCACAAAGGCAGCGACTCTGATATTCAAGTCAGGTTTGTTCACCTCAGCCGGTGATGTAACGTACTCTACATCCTCTCTTTCTATTATCCCCTATAGGATCGTGACCGTTTAGAGATCACTATATATCAGCACATACTAGAGGGGGTGAGGGTGATGGAGGGAATGACATTTGCAAGAGGGTCAGTCGCACCGGACGACTTTGCAGAGTTCAATCCTATTTAACTTTGACACGCAAGATCCGAAGTCCCTCATTTTAGGAGAAGGGGTGTGATTTTATTTATATGCCGTATCCTCTTGGTGTAATACACTTAGTTGCCATTTTAGTATGTAGACCTAAGTAAAACTAATGCAGTTTAATACAATAGTCCTGCAGTAAATCCTCCTCACGTGAAGGTTATAGGAACCTCATAAACTGACAGTGTGTGTAAGACACGCAGCAGATAAAGGAAGGACGATGCCCGGTTATAGTGAGGACGACGACAGTAACAAAAAGTTATGACAGTAAAGTGTTTCACAAGACTGTGTATGTGACGGCGATCCGACGCGCAACTTCCTGTCACACCAGAAGTAAATTTTTGCCAGGACAGATCCAGTCTGACCGGTCCACACCGTCACAGTGGGATGTGTTCGGTCATAAGGAAGCGAATTAAAGCTGCGCTCCGTTAGAGCAAATGTATGAAAAATCATAAACAATAATAGATGTTCGATACTAAGGAACCGTGATTTCCTCTTTTATGCATTGCATCATACAAAACTCAATTTGTTGATCATATATCGAGAAAATATGTAGAGAATAAAATCTTATGTAACAGACACATAAATGATAAATGGAGGCTTTAGAATAGATTAGTCACAAAATCAGGAAGTGCTGCTAGTTTTGGTCCTTATAAATAATTTTGTAGAAACTTCCCACTCGAGGTAATGATGATGTTTAACCCTGAGCGCTGACGGTGTCATGTGGCTGTTGAGCTGCTCTCAGCGCCGAAACAATCGCTCTCACTCAGAAAAGACATTTGTCACAACAAAACTGAAGTGGTTTTAATGTGCTAGCTAACAGCTAACAGTGTTAGCTTCTCTGCGACGGTCTTGACATTGGCCACCTGCTCTGCTGGCGTGGAGGAACCACGGGAACCCTCTGCACATACATCCTTTTCCATCCTCTTTTTCTTCTCTCTTTGTCTTTTCATCTTCGTTGTGTTGTGTTTGTATCTCTCTCTCTTTTCTCTGTCTCTCTCTCTCTCTCCTCTCCCTGACGTCAATGAGAAATTGGATGGTTTTTGATTATTACATGGCTGTCAGGCTTACTGCCATTAATTGAATTGAATCCCAGTCCATCTCCTTCACTTCTCTGTCCCCTCTCCTCCCTCTGTCTCCCTCTCGCTCTTCTTTTCATCTCGTTTCACTCTCATTTTCCATCTTGTTTGTCATGTTTTTTGTTTTTTGTATGATTTTTTTTTTTTCTTTTTTAATTCCCCAGGTCCTTATTTGCCCCTATTTCTCTTGCTTGAATTTTCTCCTTTCTCTCTCTCTCTGCATGTCTTCACCATCTTGCTCTCTCTTCTGGTCTTTCTCATTCCTTTTATTTTTCTCTCTCTCCGTGTCTCCCTTGTTTCTCCTTTTCTTCCCGCCTGTTTCTCACTCTCTTCCACCCCACGTGTCAGCTTTATTCCTCCCTGTCATTCTCTCTCTCTACAGGCTTCTTTTCATCCTTTCTTCCCCTCTTACTCTTAATCTGCGTGCTCTCTCTCTCTCTCTCTCTCTCTCTCTCTCTCTTATTTCTCTGTCTCTCTTGTCTGCCCCCCTCCGCCCCCCCCCCTTCTCTCTCTCCCATTCTCCCTTCCCGGCTCTCTCGCTCCTTGAGCACTGGTGATACTGTTGTCATGGTGACACCCATCATTTTCTGGCATGAATGGAGGATACTTTATTGATGAGACGGCATGGCGGAGGGAGAGAAAGGGAGAGTGATGGAGAGAAAGACAAAGACGGACAGACAGAAAGAAAGAGAGGAAGCACTGGCAGGGTAAATCAGAATGATACGGAAACGATCGTCCCCGCTGCTTACGATACAAAACATTTCCACCCTGTAATTTGTTCAGCACTGATGAGTCGGAGAGGAACGTTGCGAGCCAAAGCACGCTGAATCTTCTGGAGGGGTTTGGGATAGTCGGGGCTGCTGAAGAATATCCCCCAAAACACTGTTATTCATCTCTCTCAGCGTGAGAGGAGGGAAGGGGAGATTCCTCTTATTAGGAGGCAGCGTCCTGGCTTCAGCAGCGCCGTCGGTTTCCCATGTTTAATGATTTGTACTGTGTAAACATGGCAGCATAATAAACTGTGTTTTTTTTTTTTTTTTCTTTAATTCGCTAACATTAGCGTTGGTGGGTTTCTGGGGCTGGATGGACATCGTTATTTGGTTGTCGTGGTGGGGTGTTTGCACACAGTGCAGACCGGCATCGCCGTCTAAAGCAGAAGGCGAGCTCGTTAGACACTTCTGATGTCGACATCACATTGTGAGGCTTGGCGCCGCAGATCAGACATTAGATTTCTCTTGAACATTTTTAGGCATTCGGCTGACACCATTAGACTAAAATGAGGAAATCAGAGCCTGGTTTGTTGTCGAATATATAGAAATACTCCAGATTTAAACAATAGAGGATCTTATAAATGTGGATATGTAACAGCACATGTTGATATACAGCTACAGTGGTGGGATGACGTGGGTTGCAGGTTTTCTCAAGGCCCACACAGAAGAGAAAGGAGTTCAACAATGAGAGCGTGTGAAGATCAAACTGGACGTGAGGTCGTTCTCCGCTAACATGTGTTTGACCTCTGACCTTTTTCTCCACAGTTCACCTGCTGTCGGAGACGATCCAGGGCGTGACAGCCACCGCCACCGGGGTCCAGTACCAACAGTCCTGGCTCTGCATCCTGTAAGCTGAAGTGTGTTTGCGTGTTAGGTTTGAAAGCTGGAATGATCGGTCAATTAATGGATTAGCTGATCAACAGAAAATTCATCAGATTTGTTGGATTAGCTCTAATAGAGATGTACAGAAGTATCAATAAAGATTATTATCACTGAAACATGTGACACTAAAACAATATTTGTTGCAGTTCTGTGAAAATCTTTCATCTCCAAAACTTGTGAAACATTTTTCAGATAGTTCAGTGTTTTAAAAAAGTTAGTAAACAGTATTTTAACCAAATATTTATTTGGATCTTGTCTGAAATACACTTAAATCCATCTGATAGAAACTGCAGGAATCTGTTTGTGAGTGTCTCTGCTCTGTAAGTGTGCAGCTGTGTGCAAGCACATTTTGAACACTGTCTTAACTGTTGCTGGAGAGAAAGAGGTTAATCTATGGAAATGAGGGGCGATGCCGGTGAGGTGAGGCGTTGACATTTATAAAAACCTCCTCCTTCTCCCTCTCTCCTCTGCTCCAGCTGCAACGTGAAGCATCTCCAGAGGCGTCACGTGTGCATCTCCCGCCTGGAGAGGCCGCAGAACTGGGGAGAGAACTGCTGCGAGGTCCGCTATGTCATCCTGATACTGGCCCCACTCAAAATGGTAACCGCCGCCCCCCCGAGGGAGGAAGTGATATATGGGCTTTATCTCTCTTCGCTGGATTACTGAGGCATTTGTAGATCCATTTGCTTCTTGTTTTGTTTTTGTTCACTCTTCATTCATCATGTTTTTATCTGCTTTATATAATTTTTAAGTGACAGTTAAGTTGCTTCTACTTCTCCTCAAAATAGCAAACATATTCCTCCTCATTCACTTATTAATTAAGTCCTGAACTTGTGCTGTGAAGAAAGTTTTCTATTATTTCCACTGTCACAAAAGTTGTTTTTTTTATCGCTCATCTGTGCCTGAAAGTAAAAGTCATGTGAGGTGCGTTCGCTGCAGGTGCACGGATCAGTGTGTAAGCATCCCGCTGCTATAGCATAAGTAACTGATCATTTTGCATTTCTTCCTTCTCTGCTTTCACCTACTGTATTTAAAAGGAAATGCACTTTCAGTCCAACAGTTAAAAAAGTTCAGTTGCAGTCCGCCACCTGTCGTGAGTCCAGTTTGTTTTTGGTTTCCAGTTCTGGATGAAACAGCGGAAAGAATAAGGATCACCATGTTCTGCTTCGGTGCTTTTTATCCCAAAAAAAAAGCCCAAATTGGTGGTTTCCTACAGGATTTGAGAGACCCCCCCCCCACACACACACACACACACACACACACACACACACACACACAAACAACACAAAGCCACGGATCACCACGTGTTACCGTACAAACAAGATCCTGTTGTGGGGATGACAGCTCAATTTAAAGTAAAGAGACAAGAGAGAAGGAAACAAAAATTATTATGTAATTAAAGTAATTAAAAAAAAACATAACATTTGGGCTTTTGAAATATGATTTCCACTCTGATTTTTGTTTTATCTTCCGTTATTATTCTTGAAATAAAAACACACGATCTCTGACCGCCTTTCCTAAAAGGTTGGAGGGGATCCAGCTTTAAAGGAAGTGTCTTGTAATCCTGACACATTTACACATTTATTTCCACACTCAGATTATTGATTTTCATTTTAAGGTCATCAACTACCAATTTTTCCTACATTTTTATTCTATTTTAATTCACTAAATTATCTAAAAGTGCTACAGCCACAGCCGCTGAGCTGCCAAGTTCCTGCCGAACACGATTCGATCCAAGAGGCTCTCGGTGTCCTGCGTGGGACACGAGCGCCCGCTTGGCTGAACCTTTCCGGTCAGGATCGCTGTTTTTCTTCACTCCTGAAGAGCTCGCCGCCGCAGCCGACGGAGAGCGCCACATATCCTGTAATACCCTTCCCTCCCATCAAAACATGAACTCCCCATCAAACCACTCAAACCTCCTGCTGCTGCCTGAGCTATTGACACACACCTACCTGCACACACACCTACCTGCACACACACACACACACATATGCAGTGACCCTGGCAATCAGCGATGTCTCAGTTCACTGCATCATGTTTCCTGTTTGTTTGTTTGTTTGTCTGTTTGTTTGGTTTCTACCTCTTTGATTCTCATGAACCCGTCTTTGTGCCAGTGCCTTCCAGCGCCCTCCTCTCCAGTCTTACAGGCAGCAATCACAACCACTAATGGCATTCTCTCAGACATTAATCCAAGCCCCAAGTAAACATAAATCACTATTATGTCTCAATTATTCCTGATGGTGGCTGCTTCTGTGAGAGAAAGATCTTTGAAGGGGCACGATGATAATGATAATAGGAATTCCTTTGGTTGGTAAATCTATGTAATCTAGCGTGAGTGAGGGTGGACCGTTTCCATCACCCACCATTTACAGAGCTTTACAGCAGTTGTGGCTTTTTTCTTTTTTCTTTTTTCTCCTTTACCCAAAGTGAATCTGCTGAACACACATGACCTTTCCTCAAAAATGCTCTGTTTCTCATTAAACAAGCTCTTACCTGAAATCAACCATCAACACATCCACGCCCTGCTGCCCTTCGAAGAAATTCCTCTATCTGTTTTCCTACTTAAAGAAATCTGCCCATCTGTGTTACTCACTCTCCACGCCGGCGTTTTCCCGGTCGTCCTGGTTAATCAAACCGCCGACCTTCAAAACTTAAATAACTCCCCCACCATAAATGCTCACTCTTACTTTGTGCTTCGTGTTTAGTGCTAATTAACAAGTCCTGGCTGCTAGCACACAAAATTAAGATGGTAAACATTATTCCTCCTAAACATCGGTTTGACAGCATCGTAACTGTGAGCATGTTTGCACGATGAAGCTAGCGTTAGAGACCGAGGGGGGGGTGGGTGCTCATGAGTGAGATTTTCGATGGCTTATTTCCTTTAAGGCTGCCTGAAGTCTGACTGAAGGTGGGGTTTCCCATGCCTTCATGCAGAAAGAGAGCCTGCAGATTAATCATGATCCATTCTCTCAGCTCCATGAGCTCTGGTGGAAATTCAGTTACCACTGTGAAAACGCTTAAAGGCTTTAGTTTTTCTGTTTGCTGCAGCTGCTACTGTACGAACCGAGCCTGGCTGTGTTGGTATCATCACCACCTGGCTAACAAGGCCTCCCTGGCACCACACTGACTCGGAGTCTGCCAGCACCATATTACCATCACTCTGTTGCACTTTGTGACTTTGGGGACAGCGTCGTTTGTGACAGATGTGGGATTACTGACAAAAGCCCTCCCAAGATACCCAGCTCCAAACCTGCCTCCCTTACCTATCCAGCCTACATCTGATAATAATGTTGTTGCAGCGGCATCACATTTACATCTCTGAGTATAGCGTGAGGGTTTGGTTTCATTTTATTATGGGTTTTTTTTTTTTGCCACTGAGAGACATTATCAAATAAAAACAGATTCAATCTTACTCTGGATTTTCATATAAAACAATATCAATATTATAGAAGCAGTTTATTCATAAATTGACCAGAAGACCCGAGAATTTCTGCTTTCAGGTAAAATGATCTAATTATGACAGTAGATGAATGCACGTTGTGATATCACTCAACCTTTCAGTTAAATACTTTATAATCACAACCAAATATGAAAGCTCAAAATGAAAGCTGCTTTAATCCAAGTGTTTATGTTAACAACGGATGGAAGGAGTTGAATATGTGACATGAAAGGCGTCACATGTAGAGATGAACCCACAGGCAAAAAGCAGCCGAGAAAATCCCTTAAATGGTTCTTTTACAGTTTTAATGTACAACCACATGTGCGTGGTTTTCTGGTTTTCCACAGAAAAGCACCAAGACAGCGATGGAGCTGGGCAGGACGTTCGCCACCCTCTTCTCTGACATCTCCTTCAGGCAGAAGCTGCTGGAGACAAAGACGCAGGAGGAGTTTAAGGAGGCGTTGGTGTTCCAGAGGCACCAGCTGACGGCAGCCAACCAGCAGCCCACCGCTCTGGGGAAGGAGGAGACCGACCCCCGCAGTCACAAACCACTCAAGGTGGGCAGGAGTGTGTGTGTGTGTGTGTGTGTGTGTGTGTGTGTGAGCTGCATATGCCATGTGTGCAACCTTTCAGCGATGGCCGATTTGGCACATTTCCAAACACTTTGAAGCAGCGTGTATTCATACGACAGCGTGATGAGTCATCCCCAGCACCCTGAGACGAGGCCTGTGATTGGTCAGCATCCACCAGCACAGTTGAGGTGTTTTCCAACTGCTTCTCATCCTCATGTTCCTCCCTCGCCTTACACTTACTTCTCATCATCCAATTTCTTTATTTTTTATTCCTCTTCCATCTCTTTCTCCCCCCTTTACTCCCCCCCCCCTCCTCCTCCTCCCCTCCTCGCTCGGCTGGCTTGACTCCTCCATCTTTCCTCTCTCCCTAATCAATCAGCATCAGCTCCTGCCAGGCCTCCTCAGTGGGTAAATGACCTTACATCTCTCACAGTCCTGTCAGAACTCCCCACCCCTTAGCTACACATGCATGTACACACACACACACACACACACACACACACACACATTAAAACACACCTCCAGAGGGGCTCTGCTCACTGCCACGGACCAACATCTCCTCCTAATGTTGCCGTTGACAGGCCAGGGCTCCCAGACATTTCCCCTTGTGTTTTCTTTTTTTTTATTATTTTTTATTTTTTTGTTAGGTGTTTATCCCAGGGCTTGAAAGGCTCAGTGCCACTCAGTGAAAGAGGGATATATAGAAGAAGACAGATGGAAGGAGAGGGGAAAGGAAAGATGGAAAACGGGGGGGGGGGCAGAGAGAGCAGGGGAAATCAAGAGGAAAGAGAAAATGATAAAATGAGAGAGAGAGAGAGGAACAGAGAGAGAGAGAGACCACACGCCTCCTCCACCTCCTTCCACATCCGACACTGACATCAGACCACCCGCAACAGCGCACCACTTTAAGAAAACTGGGCCGAATTGTTGTTGTGTTTTTATGTTTTTCCTCCCCGTTGCCTCACTCCATCGACTGTTCACAACGAATGGCAACCAGGTGGACAGTAATTCCTCTTTGAGACTTTTGTTTATCGAACCTGAGCCAAAAGCTGGTGATCAGGCCCCACACACACACACACACACACACACACACATGAGCACACACACATAAACACAGGATACACACATACACACACACACACACACACACAGGCTCCCTTGTAATAATAAATGATTCCATGATGTATAGGGATTTAATGGATGAACAATCCTTGTTGAACAAGCATGTGTGGCTTCATAAAACCAGCCGCCCCACCCGGAGAGGAAAAAACAGAAACGCCGATGCTGTTGTTTGTTTTCATGTTGTTTATGTTGAGACGAATCGCTTTGCTCTGCCAAAAACTGTCCAAAAGTTTTTAAGATGACAAACGAGTCGGGAATCATTTTCCCAAGGGCTGTACCTACTCATACACACCTCCTCGTCACCCGTTCCGTTTAATTGTATAATGCTGTGTTCAACAAGGAAATGGAACATTGGGTAATTGGATAATTTACTTAATAAGCTCGGTCAGGACGACACATTTACTCCCTGTCTTGTGTAACCTGAAAGCTCATCTTTTTAAGAGCCCTCCATGTCTCCTTTTTGAATCACGTGGCTCCGTCCCAACCGTCCTCCTCCTGACTTCTCTAAAAATACACTAAATCTTCTATCCCTCTCTGTCGCTGTCATCTCTCTGTCATTCTTGATCATTCCGGGGACACGGGGATCTTTAATAAATGTACTAAATCTAAATCCAGCCGCGCCGCTCACTTCTTCTTGTATTACGCAATTAAAGGTTTTCTAGGACTACCTCGTTAAATTCGATGATTCAAATCAACTTTGTGGAATCACCAGCGTCGTAGCCGAATCATCAAACGGGCGATTTTTGATCTGAATGTGTCACCGTCCACAGCAGAGGAGCAGTGCGTTGGGTTGGGTGCCGCCTCAGGCTTTCCACGCCGTTGCATTTTTTTGTTTTTGCAGGTCACCAAGGATAAGACGAGCTAAATGAGCAAAATGCCTCAGAGCAAAATGGAAACTAGAAAATAACATTCTACATGAATAAAGGAAATAATTCACGTGTGCATAAGTTTTAAAAACGTTGAAAACTTATGAATTCATTCCATTGTGTATCTTACGCGGTCAACACTGCAGTGTGATGTGTTCAAACACATTTGCACACCTGCGTAAGATGGTTTTATTCCAGACCCTGGAAACGTTAGTTTACGGACTGAAGTCTGCGCTGCACGACCGTGAAAGTGCTCCTGCATCTTTGCAAGTTTTCATGCTTTAATTTAATGACTTTACCAAATATTTACGAGCTCAGCACCTTTTCATCAACTGGCTGGGCAACAGTGCTATGTTTCTGGAGACCTACCTGTTTTACCAATAAACAACAGATGTGTAAGTGATTTCAGTTCAGTTGAAATATTCAGCACTAAAGACACGATGCCTTTCGACCTACATTGCTCATTTAATTTTACTGTTTTCTTTTCTCTTTCTTTTTCTTTTGGAGGACAAAGGACACACAATGACACTTAGAACGAACCAGTTTTAGCTCTGACGAAAGACTGCAGGTGGTGGCACGTGTCAAACCTGCAGTGGCTGTTTCTTTCTCTGCCTATAGGTGGCGCATACTGACACGTCTACACGTTGCACCTGATCCTGTTTCCCGTGACTTCGCATCAAAAATCTAACCTTTTCCTCTTCTGTCCACACAGTGTAAAGATTTCTTCAAAGCCGGGCGGGGGATATATGAGGACTTGTGTCGCAGACTGCCTTTCTACCCCTCTGACTTCACAGATGGTAGGCTGGACTTGGACTTGTAGTGAAAGTGAATCATCTTCCTTATTATGCCACACCAGGGTGCCTCTGGCAGCTCCTCATTTGTCTGTCACCCTTTGCCTCAGACACATCTGTGCTGCATCTGTGTCACATCCAGGGTCCGCTGAGATGACTGTCTCAGATGTCTTGCTGCTGCCATATGCTCCCATATGTCCAATATTATTGTAATTTCCCAAAGACATCGGACACAAGGACATTGCCCTGTACATTACCAGCGCAGTCTCAGCAGGCCGGCGGGCTTCTTCTGCCGCACCACATCACACTCTTCATCAGTAAATGTGTGGAAGGGTTTCCGTCCCCCGGTCAGATACACGTGCACGTGTGACCTTTACAATTTACTGTTGTTAAAAAGAGAGAAGTTGTTGCTTGTTATTGTCAGAGATGCTACCCAATCAAACCAGGTCAATTGAATCAGTTGATTGTTGATTGTAAAAAAAATAAAGACTTGGTAAAGTACAGTTAAGGAGATGCGTTTTCCAGCTGGGTTCTCCTCCTACGCCACTCTCTCTCTCTCTCTCTCTCTCTCTCTCTCTCTCTCTCTCTCTCTCTCTCTCATTTCGTAATATCCAAACACATTCATTGGCCTGTAACAAAATCAAGATATTTCTGTCTTGTGAGTGTCATCAGATAATGATCATCTGATGAAGGTCACAGGACCAAAATCGTTGTGATTGCATTAGAGCCCAATTATAGTGTTTTATTTCAAAATGAGATATATCCATCATTTGGATAAGAGCGATAACTGCTCTTACAGCATGATGGATAGCACAAAACTCAAACAAATAATTTATATTTTAGGTTCTTAAAAAGGGCAGGAGGCCGTGTGAGTCCTTGTAGAGTAGCTCTACTGTAACTTTCTGGATGCTCCACATTGTTCAGGCCCTGAATGATGAACTCCTCTAATGTTTTTGTCATTTTGATATTAAAGTGTCGAGCCTCCTCCACTCTATTATGAGGTGAATATGACTCATGTGTTTGTGTTTATCTCCCCTCAGGTATAGTTGGCAGTAATAAAACCCTGCTGAAGTACATGACCACAGCCATCTTCCTCTACATCGCCATCCTCCTCCCCGCCATCGCTTTCGGCTCCCTCAACGATGAGAGCACACGCGGCGAGATCGGTAGGAGCACGTACTCCAGTGTAGACACATGAACGTCTTTTCTCACAGACTGTGCATTTCTCCACAGACATACTGGATCTTTACTTTAATTTGATTTTTAGCCAATTATTTTTAACAGAAAAAAAAAATGCACTAGTTCTTATATCTTTAACTCTTAGCTTCAAAAATCTAAATTATATAATGATAGGATGATAATTGCTGAAAGAAAGATGCAGTATTTTAAGGATTTCAAGGATATGACTTTATTCATCACTAAAAAAGTTGCATTATTTGATTTTTTGGGCACTAAGGGTCAGACACACAGTCCTGACCTGATATTAAAGTACAGAATATATACAAAAAGTTTTACAGAAAAACAAAAGGATTAAAATGGAGATTTGATGGAAGATGCAATGAAACAAGGAGAAATAGGTGAATAATCCACAATAAATGCAATAAAGATATGTTTTTAAGATGCTTTTTAAAGATATGCAGAAGACTTGGATTCTTTGTTGTTTGTGTTGGGAGTGTCAGAGAGTCGAAGAGGAGCAGCAGCAACAATCAGCCTCGACTTTGACCTTAACCTTGACAGGCTTCTTCCGACTGACTGAACCACCCAGTAAATGTGTCATGAAGCTAAATAAAAAGCTCCATGCAGTGTCAGGATTGGGTGGTAAATTTCTCTGCGGGGTCATTGCAGTTAGTAAGAACGTAGTCACTGAGTCGGTGTTATATAAACACATCAAGTGGAATATCTGTGTTTGTTCTGTTTTCGTCAAATTAACATTCTCCCTTTGAAAACTGAATTGGAGATTAGCTCGGCCCTGATGAAGAGCACAGCCGCCGTTCGAGCACATTAATCAGCACTTCCTCCTGCGTTTGCTCCCTGTGTGTGTCCTCTCCGCACAGATGTTCGGAAGACCATCATCGGCCAGAGCATCGGCGGGGTCATCTACTCGTTGTTCGCCGGCTCTCCCCTGGTCATCCCTCTAACCACGGCTCCTCTCGCCATCTTCATCAGCGGTAGGCTTCCCCCTCTTTGATTCAGCTCAGCTCCGCCAAAATACACTTATCTTTTCACAGTGTGATTTGAAAAGGAGGCTGCGGGTGGGTGGAGTACTAAGACGATTACGTCAAAAATCAAGAGAAGGAGGCACCCGGCCGTGAAGAACAGCAGCCACAAACTCTTTATCTTCATCCTCACCCGCTTTGTCTTTAACCAGGACACAGCACCTTTGGACTAATGGAGCTGTTTGTTGACTCATTTTTTTATTTTTTATTTAGTCTTAGTCCTTTGTGAAATGTCCTTGTTATTTTTCATAGTTTTCATAAAAAATTTCACCTTGTTTCTTTCTGCCAAGCCCTGCTGTAACTCCGAGTCCTCGCTGTGCTCCACGCTGTGCAGCGACTGGCCGGTGGGGTTCTGATACGGTGGCCGCAGCACAGGAAACACAGCTGCTGCATTGACGGAAAAAAAACTCTTTATAATATTTAAAGAATATATAAATATATAAAGACAGATTTTCTGTAACATTTGAATTTTTCAAACTTTAGCTAACGTTTACTTATCAGCCTGGGAGAAACTCATGGACAGCTGCCTCTACAGCAGTTAGCATGCTAACCGGCTAGCCGCAGCCCGCCTCAGCACTTTCCGATAGCGAGTCACTGTAGCCTCCAGTCTGTCCTGAGGAAGTAGAGCTGCTTAGAGGACGTATTATAACCTCTCGTCTTTGTAAACGCAACAACGGCTAAAGTTCTTGTCAAGCGACAATCACCACCACCTGCGTCCGGCAAGAAACCACGTTCGGCGGCAGAGAAAACGTACAAATAGCCCCTTTGAACAAAACTTTCATTCGTACATTTTGTCTGTTTTAATACGATATTGCATTTTCTTATAGTCACGGTTATTACGTCTCGATCACGTACGTTTTTTTAAAAATAAAGAAAACTTTTTTTCTCCTGACGTTTGTCACGTAACGGTTGGTTTCAGGGAGATACGGGTTAGGAAACTTGCTCGCTGCATGCAACAACATGTAAACTTCATATTCAGTCCAGAGAGACAACAGCACATAAAGTCTTATATGGTTTTTACCCGACAGCAGTTTCTTGCTGGTTGGAATTTAAACGATCTTGACGGCTGGAAGCTGCAGAATCGGGCAGCGATGAGGAAAGGCAGCGACTCCGCAGCCAAGATGTAGTTTTAATACCAAAGCTGTTTGTTGGGTTTGTGGTGTGATGATCTTTGAAGTAAATGGGTTAGGATTGTGCTAAGCGCATTCTCATGGGGATAATTATAGTACATTTCCAGCAGCCTGTCTGAGCAGAACAATGGCCTGTTTGTAAAGTTGTAACTCATCTACGCACAAATCTGCTCAAGATTACAACTGTTATGGTTTTTACAAATACATTACAATCTGTGTGTGTGTGTGTGTTTGTGTGTGTGCTTGTGTGTGTCCTCAGTTTTTAACAGCTGTAAAAATATTGTCTTTTTATTATTTTATCATTTTTAAAGCATTTGTTTTTACAGCGCACAAAAAGATGATCAATACTGCTCCTTATTAACCTAGTTTCTTTTTTATTTATTGATCAAGTCAACATCGATCTGTCTTCTTCTGTTGGTTCATCCCTTGTTTGTTTATTCGTCACATATTCTGTCTTTCTTCAGAAGCAACTGATTGAATTTTGGATGAATTAGAGGGAAGGAGCATTTCATCACTTTGTTTATGTTTTATAAGATCAGACAGATTAGCACAACGATGACACTTCAGTGTCTCTGCACATTACAGCTAAGGTGCCGTATGTGTTAGTGCTCAGTGTGTGTTTGCTGCTGCCTCATTTGCAAAAGAAGCAAAGAAACCATCCATCACCGAGAGTTAAACGCAGTCCTGAGGTAGTGGGAGCAGATTGGTAATAAGGATTAATACTGTTTTAGATGTTTCATGATGTGTGTTTATATTTCTTTCTGCGTGCGTTTGTGTACACGTGCACCCTCGAAGTGATCCGAGGAATCTGTGACGACTACAACCTGGACTTCCCAGCTTTCTACGCCTGCATTGGTCTGTGGAACTGCCTCTTCCTCATCCTGGGAGGGATCTTCAATGTCAGCCTGCTCATGAAGCTCTTCAAAAGGTATCTCTCACGTGCACACTCGCCGCACTGTTCAACTCTAATCGTTTTCTCTTTCAGTACAACCTCGTTTATTGAATCAATTCTTATATTTTCTCTTCTCTGTCAAACAGGGAAATGTTTTAAATAGGGTGGTTACGACAGTGTCTGCTGCAGAACCACTGGCACTCATCAGAAAAGTCTGTTTTGTACAACAAATGATTCCTATAGAAAACAGAGTTCTGGTTCAGATCTTCTGGTTGTTTTTAAAAAGCCCCTTTAGCAAACCCCCCACAGATACATGAACTCTGTCTTCTCTGAGCTAAACCCAGTGAGGAGAAGGTGACGGGGGGGTAAATGTACGGTGGCCCCTGAGGACAAAACACAAACAATAGAGAGAGCACAAACATTAAAGGAAACACGCTGGAAATCCTGAGATGCAATGAATATAAAAACACACACAAACAGGGAAAACACAACAAGTGTTACTACACTGGAAGAGCTCCAGGACGCTGGTGGGCTCGATTTGGATAAGCAGCAATGTCACAGACAGACTTATTTCTAAACAGATTTTCTGGGGGGAAAAAAAAATAATCAAATTGACAGTGAGTTTTAGTAAAAGATCCACCCGTCATCCAGTCTGTAATATATATTAAAAAAAACACAGCAAAACTGCCTGTGTTCGTTTTTTTGTTTAGAAACATTTATCTTTATTGAAACGTGGTGATATCTCAGTTTGTATTAGAACGTAAAAGTCCACGGGGGGGTTTGGGTCTCTACCAGCAGGAAACATTGGGATCATAAAAACACAATTTAATTCAGGCGTGAGTTCAGTTGGGGACATTAAAAAAACGTATCTGTAATGTTGCTGTCGATCCTGATCGAGCCATCACTCCCTCCCACGTCCCACAGCAAATCTTGTTTCATGTGTTTTCCCTATTTTTTATGTGCTAACTGTTTAACTTAGCAGACACACACCCATCTACTCTGTGTGTGTGTGTGTGTGTGTATTGCTTTGTGTTGCCCTTGGAGACATTTACCAACACTGTGGGATCATTTTCAGGTTTTCATAAAAAAACATTTAAAGAAAACACAACACATGCTAACTATAACCTGATTTTTATTTCTGTGAATGTCTGAGCCGCGCTGTGTATCTCTGCCTGCGGCCGAGTTCTAGTTGTTTCTTACAGGTACAATGTTTGAGGTCAGTACACGAAGGTATAAATTATAATACAAGCGATAGCTCATACTTTCCTTTTAAAATTTTAAAGTAAAGAAAAGTCGCAGTACAGAGCACTTTGTTTCAGGAAACAGTAATACAGTACAACAACCTCGCCTGTCACTGTGTTCCAGGTCGACAGAGGAGGTCATCGCCCTCTTCATTTCCATCGCGTTTGTGGTGGACGCAGTGAAAGGCACGGTGAAAAGTAAGTTCCTGACGCAGGCGACAGACGTGTCTCTTCCTGCGGCCCGTTCCGCAGGGTCACGTTGCCTTCACTGGTGCCTTCACAGTGATGACCGTACCTGTCAGACCCACCACCCAGTGCTAGTTTAACAAGTGTCAGATTCAAGAAAATGTTAAATCCCACCAAAAGCTCTAAATTGACGCCGTATTATAGTTGAATCTTTGAGATTATAATTTAAGTGAGCAGCGTGTTACTTAGCATGGCTGTTCTTGACTGAAGAATCCTGTGTTTAGACCTGTTCAGCTTATCTTTTAGTACATTCAATCAAAAAAACTGTCTGATAGTTTTCCCCAGGATTATTGTCAGAAGCATCTCTTAAAATTTCATTTTCAAAAACCCCAGTTTTGCATGTCTTCTATCTGTGATGTCAGATATGAATTATAACATATAAGTACGACTGATTCTTCAGATTCCGCTGGCAGGTCAGATGAGCATTTCACCCCTGCAGAGAGTTCAGAAGAAAGACATTAGTTCCTCTGTTCCTCTGCTGCATCAGCTGAGAGAGATACCAAATTACTAAATGAGAGAGTTGTACTAAATGAATCAATCCGGATTTCGAACCCAGCCTGCAGCCGTGTCCCACCGTCGCTGCCTTTACTGCCACCTCATCTTAGTGTATCATAAATATTTTTACACAATTTAATTTTCAAAAAAATGAGGTGATGATACCAGAATGTAATTTATTTTGAATGCGATATTGTCCTGTTTAGGAGATTGCCAGCGCAGCGGTTCAATTTTCAGAAACCATTTGTAAAATATGCTCCGAGCTCATATGCCATTACCATAACATTAACTTATGACATGGCTGTTGACACTTTTCGTCCAGAATATTTTTGCAGTTACATGAATGAAGACATTTTTGAGGTGTGCATTCAGTCTTCCTGTACAACTTTGTCTGCTGCATAACTTTCTTGCGGGTCTGAAGAAAGGGCCGATCGCAGGCTGTGTCACACACTCTTTATTGAAAGTGATGATAGAAGTGATTTCTACTTGTGTGGGAGGAGGTTTTCTCCTCCTCCTTATTTAAAGTAGTCGGAGAATTGCTCCGCAGAGTTTTAACATCGCAGCCTTCCAATGTGATGCTCAGTAAAGGAGGAGGCATAAATTATATTGGTGGCTTGTTTACACTGTAGTTGTGATATGGGTGTCAGGGCTGATTTCACTACATTCATACATCCGCTCATTCGACCTCTGACCCGGCCGCTGACTGTTCTCGTTAGGATTGTTTTTAAAACGTGTTTAATATTTATGATTATACTTGGGAACGTGTGTGAGTCAAATGTCCACAATCGAGCAAAATAAGGTTTTTATGCCGTGAGCGAGTGTTTTAGAGTTGATCCGGTTGATCAGGTTTTAGTGCCGAGCCACAGCTCAGCAGGTTTATCTCATTTTTATGAAGTCCTCTCTCTGCTCCAGCTCTCCCTGCAGACTTTACAGTCCTTGTCGCCACTGTCTCCCCGACCAATATTTTACCTAAATTTATCATTTTTCCTATTTCTCTGTTCTGACTGCAGCATCAGCAGCACAAACTGTTTTTTTTAAGGCGGGTTGTTTTGTTTGTTGTAGCATCAGGGCGAGTTTCCTTGCGAGATTTCACGGTTAACCAAGCAACAAGGCCGTAATCATAGTCCAACCCTCGCTCAGTGTGTTTCCCTCTGTATTTACTCACTTCTGACTGTAGAGACGAAGAGTCTGCGCCTCACAGAGCCGCCAGCCGCCCGCCACTGTGACGCTTTCAACGTGCTTATAGCTTCATGCTAACATATGCTACTTAGCACAAAACTCTTAAGACGTTCGTGTAGTTTTGCAAGTATTTGTTATTTGGAAAAGATAAAGCATCAGTGAATTGTGGTGCACCAGGAGCAGTCAGGGCATCACCAGAGTCATTATTGGATATATACCTGTAATATACATCACCATCACCAGAGCCATGCTGCTATCAGAAACATGCACGGTGCACGTCTTTTTCCCGCCTAACTGAACATCGTGGATGTGATTCAGTCTTTCACAGATACTACCACGACCCCACGCTGGCCAACAGGAGCGCAGTGGACTTCCGTCAGGGCGGAGACCTGTTGGGAGGGAACCGGAGCGAAGTGGCAGCGGGGTTAGCGTTCAACGCCCTCCCCGAATCCCTCATCCAGTGCACCCGAGAGAGACCTGTCCTCTGCCTCCTGCTGATGCTCGGGACATTATGGATGGGCTACACCCTCTACCAGTTCAAGAGGAGGTATGTGCGGCACCGCAGCGCTGCAGCACTCTGCAAGATAAATCACTGGAGAAGTTTAAATGGTGTTTAGATGGGGAGCACTGCTGGCCAGGACGAATACTGCTGAGTCGGGCCTTGACTGTAAAGATTGTCGGGAGTGACGGAGCTCGCAGGAACTTTTCCAGACTTGCTCTCACAAAGCTGCTGCTTTTTTTTTTTTTCTGTCGAAGGTTTCTTCCAGTCTGTGATTTAATAAGCATTAATATTCTACTTCTGATTGCTCCCAGTAATCAAATCAAGCTCAAAGCCGGATTCAATTGTGTAAGCAAAAGGCAGACCAAGCTACTTAAACAGTGTCAGGATTGCAGCCATTGTCCTTGTCTTGTCCACAGTAATTGTATTCCTCTATTATTTGTCTCTCCCTTTTCACTCCCTTCTTTCTCTCTCTCTCTCTCTCTCTCTCTCTCTCTCTCTCTCTCTCTCTTTCAGTCCATTCCTGCATGCCAAAGTGAGGGAGGTGCTGTCGGACTGCGCCCTGCCGATCTCAGTGCTCCTGTTCTCCTTCATCGGCTCCTACCTTTTCAGTGACATTGAGCGTTAGTATCATTTGTTGCTTCACTGAGCAGTTAGTGCTACAGAGTGTATTTCAGCTTCTTCACGCCAAATAAAATTATACAGTCTGATCCTCCAACAAACATCAACACAATATTGTTTTGTTTGGTTTTTTTTTTCTTTTCTTTTATTATTCCACATGAAAAACTCAAATTAAAATAAGGTTCTTCAACATTTGGGTTTTACAACAGTAGAAATTGGTCATGGCTGCATTTTAAGATAAAACTGTCAGGATCAAATAACAGACTGGTCATTTTTAATGAGTGGAAAAGGGTTAATGACAATATAACGATTAAGAATGATTTGTTTAAGAGTTTTAGGACTCGCCACCTGATTTAAAAATAAGTTTTATTATTTTAATCTAAACGGTGAATAGTGATTAAATAAGACGTATAAGGAGGTATTGTAATAATGAGCATCATGATAATAGACTCATCACTGTGACGCCTGTCAGCCTTTGTGACTTTCTGAAAAACATCATCTTAAATTTCACCGTCACCGTGACAAAAGTTGAAGCTCAGTGATGTTTTTTCTTGTTGAAATGCGCAGTGGGAGTTGTAGTTTTCTCTCTCTGTCTCATCAAAGAACCAGATATTTCGTTGCTCATCTTCTGAGGTAGAGTTTCAATCAGCAACATGGTCTATGGAGAGAATGAACAAAACAATGGAGGCCCAAAATAACTCCTCCCACATCACAGCGCTGGACAGCATGCACAGACGTACAGAGTGCGTCTTCTCGCAGCTCTTGTTATTAGCTGTTGTGTTGCTGCGCTTGGACTTTTATAATGGGAGTTTGTTGTCACTTTGTGTCTTTGAATTTAAGCACAGAGGTTGTTTGTAACCTGCTGAGTGGCTCAAACTTATGGCCTGTTTACCTCCAGGACACGGCTCTGCAACTGCAAGGCCTCCCTCTTTCGGTACCTTTATTGTCTTTTTATGTTCCTTAATCAAGGCACGGGCCAAAACACATTGGACATTTTCAGTTTTTTATCCTCTATTGTTTAGCATCATTTTGAGTCTCCATTCATTGTTGCCAAGGCAGCAGCTGTTCTCCAGGGGTCGACGCGGAAACACAGAGCCGAGCGCCAAACCCTCAAGTGAATTTAAATTTAAGTGCCTGGCCAATTTTCTGTTTCTTTGCCTCCTGAGACAATAAGTCATAAGATAATAGACCCATTATTGTATTGTCACTTCTTCCTAAATTTAACCAACTGCACTTAATTCAACTGCAGTGGAGGGGATACAGCCCTAAATGAGATATCAGGCATTTGGAAAAAAAAAAAAAGAAAAATCCAGCCCCTCTGGTGAAATGATTGCTGGTGTGAAAACATGAGTCATCACAGCAGTTTGAGGGACAGTTGTGTTTGTGAAGATAAAAATCTGTTGAGTTTGGAAGTCGTGGGAGAGAATTTTAGACAGATAATTCTTTACAAAAATTATTCCAGTTTATTATTTTTTTTCTCTCTCTCTCTCCCAAATCACAAGACGTCCTCCTTATGACTGATGTCACAGTGATGCAGCCAATTAGCTCCGAGCTAAAGTTATGTAAGAGAACGTCTCTGACATCTTAATGTGAAATTAAACTCGTGGTCATTGTTTTTTCTTCCTTTTCGAACAGTTCCAGTGTTCAAAGTTCACGACAGACCGATCTTCAACGTGGCTCCATTCGAGCGCCTGTCGGCCATGAACGTCGTCAGCGCCATGGGCCTCGGCTTCCTCCTGGCCCTCCTCATCTTCATCGACCAGAACATCGTTGTCTCGCTGACCAACGCGCCAGAGAACAGGTACATCCTGAGACAAAGCCCCCATTTCTTCATCTCACTTATAAATTCCTTAATGTGCAATTAGAGAACTACCTAGTCGGAGGATTGGGTAATGATAGTGGCCCCTTCGAAACGCCACCAGGGACCTTTAGGGATCCACTGACCCGACTTTAGGTCCCGCTGTAACCGGATATTTGCCGGTTTGTTAGCGAGAGCAGATGAACTGAGCCAGAAACTTGACATCTGAGTCAAATCGTCACAGTCGGGGAGCTCTGAAGACGCCTCAGAGCCAAAACACAGTGTTGAGCTTTTACTTCTTTTAGCTCTTTTACTTCTTCTACATTTGCACTGAACAGACCAATTTGGAGCTAATCCGTGCCCCACAGACGCACCGTCAACCAGCCCTACAGCCAAAATCTATAATGATGGAATTTCAGCCTTTATCTTGTACATTTGTTGGGGAGAAATTAATTGGATCTAAATGTCTGTTTGGAACAAGGATGAATTCACCTGTAGGCGAAACAGCGGCTGCTATAGCTTTAAAAAAAAACGAGTGCTTTCCAAGAGTATTGATCTGTGCGACACTATTTCATATTGTTTTATAAATTATACTGTTTTGATCTTATTTACGCTGCACAAAAAAAATTCTAAATAAAATCAAATAAGATTCAAAGTCGCCTATTCGACCATCACTACATCCCTCATGTTGGACAGAAGCTGGAAAAGCTCGTGGCTATTTCTGTTCCTGCTTTTTTCTTTTGCTTCTTTTATCTGCTGCGCTCTTTTATTTGCTTGACATCTTGTTTTTCTTTTTCTTTCTTAGTCTGGAAATAAGATGTTTATTGAACCATTTGGCAGTTTCTCTACCTGCACATGTCTCTCTCATGTCACACTCTCTTTCTTCTTTCTTTTCGTTATTTATTTATTTATCCATTTAAAATATCTGTCATCATCATGCAGATAGATGTAGACTAAACAAACTTTTAACCTAAAAACGGCTCGTGCATTCTGGTTGATGGGAAATAAATGAAAATAAAGGCGTATTTACCAATAAATATAGTTATTTATTGGTAATTTACAGTCTTCAGGGGCGTCAATGTCACGTTCAAGGGCACTTCAGCAGGATGGGACTGATCAGTGAGTCCCTATTGCTTTACAGAACAAATGCTGTAGACACTCGCCTACCGTCACACAACCTGTTCACAGTTTTAGTTTGAAGCTTCCCCAAAGAGACACACACACACACACACACACACACACACACACACACACACACACACACACACACACACACACACACACCCTTCAGTATGCGCAGCAGTGATCTTTAACTAACACGAGCAGAAAAAACGTTGTGTGGCATCATAAACGTCGCGCTCTTATTTGTACGTGAAGTTACAGTAACGTCGCCCTCCTCTCATGATGTCATCATCGGTGACATCATCTTGATTTGTGCTTTTGTTCATATGGAAACATGAGAGAGGGCACAACAACGTGTGTCTTGTGTGTTGAGAGAGAGTTGGTGAATTATGTGAGTGTTTTTATCAAGGTTGTGTTGAAGGGCAGCGCTCACCTTAGGAGGATGGTGCCCTTTGTGTGTGTGTGTGTGTGTGTGTGTGTGTGTGTGTGTTTCAGGAGAGATGTTGTGCTGCAGTGTGTAACAGTGTCACTGCTCCTCAGGTTGCTGAAGGGCACGGCGTATCACTGGGACCTGATGCTCTCTGGGCTCATTAACATACTGATGTCGGTGCTGGGGTTGCCCTGGATGCACGCCGCCTTCCCCCACTCCACCCTCCATGTGCGCCAGCTGGCTTTCGTGGAGCAGCGCGTGGAGGGGGGGCACCTCTACGAGACGTGAGTTACCCGCCCTCTCACCGCCGGCGCTAATCAGACGCTCAATTAAAGGTCGTCTTCAGAGCGTGTGGTGACTGTAATTTAGTGTCGCGGGCTACTGTATCCTGCTCGTCTCTGATTGCATGATTACTATGTAACTAACCATTTTCTCGGCGGGTGGAAGAGGTGAGGGAGTTTTTAAGAGATTAGAGGATTAAGTTCATCATTCTGGCCGCACAGATATGAGCAAAATTATAGTTAGCATATACTCAGGATTCCTTAAGTAGTCAAGTGTGATAAATGGGTCATGGGAGACAATCTCCTATAAGAACAAGAGATCTAATTAGAAGAATATGAAATTCAGGCTTCTTGAAAGTATCAGGAAATTAATATTCCAAATTTACAAAATCTGATTGTCTATGGAAAATTTGAAAAAGTGGTTATTTAAAGCAGTGATTCCCTTTTTATTGCCCCCCCCCCCTTTAATGAAGTAAGTACATTTATTCATACAGCAGCTCTCAAGAACAAGTGTTTCACATTAATTAAAAGAAATAAAGCAACAGGAAATACAGGCTCACAGAGATTTAATAAAAAGGAAAAAAACAACATAATAGAAAAAGATAAAAACCACACGAATACAAATGAAATATCTGGGTCTCCAGAGAATCCACGGTCTCCCCAGATCTGAAGTCCAAAGTTTAAGAGCCATAACTCCGAAAGCACAGTATGCACATGTTGTTTTCCCTCCTCTAAGGTTGTTTTTATTTTTAAGAGACCGGGAAAGATAAAACTGTCAATCTGTCAAAAATCTAAAATTTTATTGTAGAGAAAACTTATTTTCGACTGGTCGTCTTCGATGACACAACACTGCACCTGACCTGGTTAAGCCCCCACAGCCAAAACGTATTAAATACAAAGAACACAAGGAAGTTCCCTCTGTCTCCAATAAGTTTAAACAAGAAACAACTTGTTAAACTTACTCCTGCAGAAATGAGGATATAACCTGAGTTTGTTCACGACGGTCGAAACTCTGGAACTTCTGTCTGAAAAATTCACAGTTTCGTCAAATGAAAATGTGCAAAAACACTGATAAGTAAATGCCAGAAAAAATGTTGTCTGCTGCATTGTATGAAACAATTGTGTTGTTTCCAGTAGCCATTCATTTGTGTGTGTGTGTGTGTGTGTGTGTGTGTGTGGGTGTGTGTGTTGTTGTTGTTGTCGTCGTGCGTTTGTCGCCCCGTCTCCTCAGTATTGTCCAGTGGAAGGAGACCCGGCTGACGTCTCTGGCTGCCAACATCTTCATCGGCGTGTCGGTGCTGCTGCTGCCCGTCCCGCTGCAGTGGATCCCCAAACCCGTCCTGTACGGCCTCTTCCTCTACATCGCCCTCACCTCCATCGACGGAAACCAGATGTGCGACCGCATGGCTCTCCTCCTCAAGGAGCAGGTGAGAAAGTGTGTGTGTGTGTGTGTGACCATATGTCGCAGGGCTCTGCAGATCAAACAGTTGACTGGGTGCCCGGTCCTGGAGGAGCAGACCTGAGTCAAATAATATTTGCAAATATAATTTTTGGTGTTTGTTTTAATCAACTCAGAAAACAGTGTGGGTGGGGTTCGGTGAAATAAGACAGATCAGCTAGTAACAGTGTTATTCTAGTGTGTGGTATCGGCCACATGAAGATGATTTCTGATGCTCGTCTTTATTGATTATCTGCTGAACCTTCAGCCAGATCAAACATCAAATCACATGCATGGAAACGATCAGGGTTTCTCTTCTGTCTTTGTGTCCGATTTAACCTTCCCTGCTGTCTCAGTGAGGCAACACTTTTCCTCTTAACTGTACTTGGTAACTTCACACGTTAGCGCCTCCACATGGCAGCGAGAGGCAACAACATGAAGGTGACAAAGAAATATTCAACAAATGTCAAACCAGGTGTCATTTTGTATCTCGCTTTTATTTAACAAAAAAGTCATTTCTGGTTAATCACTAAATATGATCATATTCAACCATCAAGAGGCTTTGTTACATCTTAGTTCCTGTGGCACATGATGCTTGTTGTTTGATTTCTAGCCCTCGACCGTGGAGAGTCGAGATTTGTCGAGTTTTGTTGTTGTATTTTCCCGATGAGTCATGTTTCCAGAACGACTGCAGGTCGTTAGCAAACGTTAACCTGCTGTTTAAAAGATTAAAACCTGACAGCCGATCATTGGGGATCAGCTGTGGGAGACGAGTTTTGTTTGTCTGCTGCAGCCACACTTGTTCTGGAAATATACATTTTTATATAATAATCTGACTGAGTTCAGGTTTAAAATAATATCAGCCACCTCTCTCCTGAACCCCACCTCCCTCACTGACACAGGAGACCCCTCATGTTATAAATATTATACTTATTGTACTTTTAAGAAAGTATCCTCTGACAGAGAAATGTTATTTATGATCTAAAACCCAGAGTGCACTTCTCAGAGGTGTGTGGGCCGTCCACTTCCCTTAGTCATTTCTCTAAGACTGCAGGAGACCTGAGGACAGCGAGGAAAAGAGCCTCAGGGGAGATTGTGTTTTAATCTGTCCTGATCCTCTCACCTCCTGCAGACGTCTTACCCGCCCACCCACTACATCCGCAAAGTGCCCCAGAGGAAGATCCACTACTTCACCTTCCTGCAGATGATGCAGCTGTTGGTGCTGTGTACGTTTGGCATGTACCCGATACCGTACATGAAGATGATCTTCCCTCTGCTCATGATCCTGCTAATCCCAATCAGGTACCACCGTGGCCATTTTGTCCCAGTAAATGATTTTCTCAAGTGCTTTAAACCCTGATGACATTCAGCAGCTCACAAGTAACAAGTGCAGCGTCTGACCTGAATCTGCCTGTGGATGAAAACATGTTTTAGCTTCTTGTTCTCAGAGCTGCATATCTCTCTGCATAGCATCATAAAGTAGATAATTCTATTTTTCTTAATTACATTTTTAAATTCTGTAACAAGGTTAAATGTTTTTCAGCTGCAAACATCTGGCGGTGGAGTTGAGATACTAACGTTTTGTGCTGCAGTTCATCTGCTCAGTCTCACTAATGTGTGAAAACAGTGGCTGCAGTGCTAACAGCAGATGGGCGTAGTGCATTATATATGATATTTGTAAATTCACAGAATAATTCACCACGCTCTCCTTGACTTTCTTCAGTGCATCACACTAGTGGGATGTCGTCAATAAATAATGCAGGTCTGCATTTGAAATACAGTTAAACTTTAAAGAAGATTGGTAAACTTTATTTATAAAGCACTTTTCAAAGTTTAAAGGTCCCTTATTTTACACTTCTGTGTTTTATTTGAAGTGTTGATCCATAAGAAGATATATTTGTGATTTAAAAAACCAAAAACCATCTCAGTGTAGTTTCACATCTCCTCTCTCAGGCTTCTCTCTGGAGCTCTAGTAACAACAGGTCAGTGAGCCAATCAGAAGAGAGGAGGCTCTGAGCCTCTCTTTTGATTGGCTGACTGTTTTCTGAGGGTTTTAATTAAAAATATAACAGATTTCAGGTAAAAACACTCAGAGAAACCAAATCCTGCAATGGTGGGTCCAGGTGGGCGGGGCTTGGGGCATTACAGAGGTCAGTGACTTATACTATAGTTGTGACATCACAAAGTTACAGGGAGTCCTGACGGCTTGTTTTAAGGCTCAGTTTCTGAATACAGGCGGTGTGCATTTCTCTGTGGACTGAGCGCTTTGATATTTTTACAGTATTAATATAGAACCTAGACCTGCTTTATAATCAAACAACACATGGACATTTACCTTTAAACAATATGGGACCTTTAAACCACAGTCACACAATTGTGACTTTTTTTCTTTAAAAAGTTGATCAGTTTTATCAAAGTCTGGTTTTCACAGTTTACACACTGTTTGGGTTCATCAGCGGACGATGAGCAGCGTTAATGATCCGTTACATTGGTTCAGTTGCTGAGACGTGTTTCTGTCATTTTAACCACCCTTCTCCACCTCTGTATGTGTAGTCCAGTTCAACAGCTCCACACACGACATCCTCCAAACTGATCAGACACCAAATCAACACCTGTCTAAACACCTCCCTTCATGAAGGGAGAATTTACTGCTGCGCTGTTGCATTAGTGAAGTCTACCTGATAAACTGTAGATGCAGCGTTTTCTCACCCACTCGCATTCCTGTAGAAACCAGCTCCACTGTATTGTTGATAACTCTCTTGTTCGCTGGTGCTACTGAGAAGGAAGTGATCAATCTTGTATGATAAGATCTGACATTTTGATGGTTTGGCGTGTGTGTTTTCTTTGTCGTTCTCGGCCCAACAAGTAACAGCTGACACAAATTCTGTCTCCTCTGTGTTCAGGAACAACGTGCTTCCTCATATCATTGAGGCCAAATACTTGGACATAATGGACGCCCAACACATGTAGCTACAGGTGGAGACGAGCTCTGGAACCACAAAGACGTCTGGAATATATATAAAAAAATTTAAAAAAGAAATATGAGGATTTAAAAAAAAAAAAACAAACATATTTTTCAATGCAAAACTGTACGGAAGCAAAAAGGAGAAATACCGACTGTTTTGATTTTTGTATCTGATAAGAACATTCTTACAGGTGAAGCACTGGAAATGTGGGAAGTCGTGTGAGGAAGAGAGATGAGAGCTGTGGGAAATCTTTTTTTTCCGAAAACGTGGACAGACAGCATCTCTCTGGGGAAAAGTTCTGCTGAAGAAAAAAGAAAATAAAAAATAAAAAACAGGACTGTCCAGAACTCCCTGTTTCACCTCCGTTTGACCCCGTCAGATCGTTCAGTGCCATATACCTCCATGTTCTCCTCTCACGTCTTTACTTTGTATGAAAACACTTTACAATACCCTCACTGCAGTGTGTGCATCTGTGTTTGAACCTGTGGGTAAGTGCTTAAAGTACTTACTAATACCGTGTAAGTCATCAGAAATCTGCCAGTGTACACTGTATAGCACTTAGAAAGGTGTAATGGCACAATGTAAGTATCTTTTTTTTGACACTTTGCCCTCACACTGTGTTTGTACACTGTCATGTGAGTGAACTTTACATACTTACACCGTGTTGCTAAGTACTTAAATACTTTTCCATTCGTGAATAAGCTGGTAAGAACACTGCATTTAGGCCACTGTAAAGTCAGTCTTAACCCTTTTGTATTTCTGTCATCGTGCAGTGTTGAAACCTTTACATTCCTGCACCTTTTAGCTGTGACTCCCCCTTTTTCTATCAAGGACACTTGTGCCCGGACATATTTAGTTTCGAAGTCATTCCAATAAATGTCAGTGTTCATTAAAGAGAGAAAAAAAGGTGTGTGTGTGTGTGTGTGTGTGTGTGTGTGTGTGTGTGTGTGTGCGCGCGTGCGTGTGTGTGTGTGTGTGTGTGTGTGTGTGTGTCTGTGTGTCATGGGCACATTGCTAATCTGTCTTTCATCTAGCTTCCTGCCAGCTCTTTACAAAACCTCATTTTTAAGGTGGAATTTAAGTGCTCAATGAAATAGAAAATACATTCCACAGGTATATATTAAATGTAATTATTTAGAACGACAGCACAAACCAAAACATATAGTGAAATCTTTATCAAATTATGAATATATTAGAATATATTATAGCAATATACAAAAAGTATTTTAGGTTAAATTGAAATAGAATATTTATTTATCAGAATTTTGAGTTCAAAATGATAATTTTGTGTGTTTCCCCCTGAACTGGAAAGTGATCTGTAATTCTCTGTTTGCTCCTTTACATTCCACACTTCCTTGTATTTTGAGTGTCACGTCTTAGATCTGACTTTGCCGCAGTGTTTACATGTCAAAGTCCCTTCCAGCTCCATGTCAAAGTCCAACACAGTTCTGGTGCATTGCTAGTAAAGCGGAGAGTCCGGTGAGGTTAGAAAATTAAATAAAATGAAAAAAAAACAACAAAAAAAAAAACATTTGTGGGCTTTGGATTCAACAAAATTGCATCCCTTTTTTTTCTTTTTCTTTTTGTGAACAAGTGTTCAGAGATGAGTTTTAGAATAATCCGGTCTTGTTTTCTATTTAGATGTTATGATTAGATCAATGCTTGCAAACGTTGTCATGTAATAATCCAGACGTCTGGAAAAGGTTATCTTGTTATCTACAGTACAAAAAGAAAAAAAAAGAACATTTCTAAGCACTGGTTTGCTTAAAGCATGTCTTATCTGGGTTTTTGATACAATGTGATGCCGATGGACATGTAACCTACACAAGAAAAAAAAAGTAGCAAGTCAAACCGTAACTTCTCAATAAACTGAATGCAACGCTCAATATTCAGCAATACTGTGTATAAAACAGAACTTCACTGGTGAAATTCGGGTTTCCCAGCGAAAGGCCGACCCATCAGCGAAGCAACGACAGGCCAGCTGTGTTTTTAAGACAGCAACTTTTCAGTCCATCCTCATGGTACAAAAACTGCTCTGTGCTGATTCAATTATGGCACACAAGGAGAATAAATAAAAAATAAAAAAAGGAGAAAGTTTGCCTGTCAACCAGGCATTCACAGTGCCGGAATTTATTACGGTTTAGTTGCTTTCCCAATATCCAAATGGCAGCTCCCTCATGCAGTTCTGTTCAGCTTTGTCTTACAGATGTGAGAAAGATGTCCAATTTAAGCAGATGTCTCATGCCGAGATAGCAAGGCATGAAAGGAAAGCTCGGAAGCATTTGCATAATCCTTGGACTAAGCCTTAAGACAGCACTGGTGAGAGAAGAGAGAGATTGTGAGTTATGAAGTAATATGTACAGTTTGCAATGCAAAGTTTAGTTTTTATCAACTATTCCATTATAATCCATGGCAAGGTATTAGTTTCTAACTTTGGACTGAGTACAGAGATTAAACCATTCTTCGTATGTGACAGTATTGTTGTTGTTCCTTGATATCTTCTCTGTACTGATGATTTTGGAATAGCAGCAAACTTCTCTCAGAGGACTTCACATTGGATTCAGAGTGAAAGACGTACTACTCTGTTTGTGAAACCTTGACTCCCCTTCTCCTAATTGGATTTGTTTGAAATTGCGTACTGTGGTGTTTTGTTTTTGTTTTTTTCTTTTCTTTTCTTTTCCTGATTTCATATAGCCTACTTTTTCTAATCATGAATGTAAGATGTGTGGATTTTTATATAGCATACTAATTTAGGTGTCAAACAGAATCTGTAATTTTGTCAAAAAGATCAGCTATATTTGTAAGCTGTAATATGTAAAAATGAGAAAAAAATGGTTATCAAACAAAATGTGTTGGTTTACTATAGTATATATATATACTGTACACTGAAAAAGAGAGACTATCTCAAGCTGTTTGCCAAATAAAAAGTAGTAGTGATGTAAACATTCATGTTTACTTGTGTTTATTGCGGTGTCTGAGAAACTGGAACAGCGTAAAATATCTCAATTACTTTCCACACTGTCACAATGTTTGATATGTGTGTATATATAACTTTAAGAGGAGGATTCGCTTTGACCAACACTTTGTTCCATTGTAAGGTATTACACAAGGTTAAGATATTAAGTGCGGTCAGGGTTAAGTAACCTGCACCTGGTATCAAAAGCTTTTTTGCACCAATGGAAATACTTTCAGCTTTCAGTCACACACTGAAAGATTTTGTTGTGTTGTTTTCATAGCGTTTGATCATCTAGTTGCTGATTTAAATCAAAATTTCAACATTTTTTTATTGTATTTTTGTGACATTTTACTTCAAGTCCCAACATTTAACTTTCATCATCAGTATACAAACATTCAAATAAGAAAATATAAGGACAAATCATGTGTTATTAATGAAATATATAAAGTATTTGTCAGTATAACTTCTCCAATGAAGGTATATTTTACATTGTTACACCTGAGTTTTTCTATGTCCTCCATTATGTGTTTATACTGCAGACAGGAGGAGTTGTAGTTATTGAAATATTAAAAACTGAAATGACAATCGCAACCTCGTTTGTTCACAACAAAAACCAAAATCTCCTCGATAATTTACCTTTTAAAAAAATAAAATAAATAAAAACAAATCTAATTTCACTGCACACAAGCAATCTCATAATTCAATAGCTGATGTTATAAAGATCACTGAGCACATTCATGCTCCCCAGAGGATGAACCCGTTCAAATTTTAGCAGCCCCATAACCTCTCCTCTGGCGCCACCCTCAGGACAAACTTGAGTTTCAGCTCCACCACACGCTGAAAATCATCTTGAGTTGTTGTTGTATTGTGTGTAACACTACAGTCAGCGGGCAGTTTATTAGGTACACCTTGCTAACACCAATAAACCCAGTAAATCCCCATTCATGAATGTTTGTAAATGAAACTGTGTTACAGAGGTGTCGAGTCAACTTTGTGATCCCTGTGGAGGATGTAGCTTGTGATGCTGGTGAACTGTATTGTCTTGCACAGAGAAGTGTTTCTGTTTTGTTTTTTTAGCTTATTCCTGTTGAAGTAAATGGAGTGGACAGAATAATAGAAACATCTGTCAGTGTAATAATACAGAGCGTGTGTACTGCCTGTGCAGTGTCGCCGATGCGCCGAGCATGCGCAGATTACCGCAGATCTGTAAGTCATGTGAAGCCGAACACTGAGTTAAAGCAGCAGCCGCAGCTCTCACAGCTCTACCCGCAGCTCACATGTAGCTGAAGGGGGGGGGGGGAGAGACCTGGGTCTGTCCCTGGGTCTGTCTCTGTCTGTCTCTCTCTCTGTGTGTGTGTGTTGTGGGCCGGGTCATGAGACTCCAGGGGTGGGTCTCCCTCGGTAACCTTGCAGCTGGATTCCTCTCCTCAGCATCCCGGAGGCGCGGCAGCTACAAACACGTGTGTCCGCTCAGTCAGTTTGTCGCTAACAACATGGCAGAGGAGGCGAAGAAGCTAGCCGCGTACGCCGCCGTGGACAACCACGTCCAGGTACAGTCAGTGTCGCTGTTAGCTCCTCCATCCAGCCACATGTGTTCACAGGCTAGCTAGCTTGTGTTTCCCACCAGCTCAGTTTAAACACGGCACTTTGTTGTCTTTAACTTCAGGGGCTCCAGGGGCTGCAAGCTAGCAAAGTTAGCTAAAGTCCCGAAAACATGCACGTTAGCATAGCTTGTTAATTATTACCGTTATCTAACCCGGATAGTTTAGGAGGGAATTAGCTCCGTGTTATGCATGCTTGTCCCGGGATAGTGGGCTAACTTTGTTCGGCATTAAGGGCTAAATATACTTACCGTGTGTTACAGCATGTGTTAGCTGCTAGCTGGGGTTAATTTTACTCTTCACGAAGTGTCAGAAAACAGGATAATATTAATATCATCAACATCTGTGCAGTCTGTTGATAACAAATATAGAAAATAACTTGTAAAGTTTATCAGCAAAGTTTTGTGTCCTGCACGTCATGAATACATTACAATACAACACTAAACATAATATAACTGTAATTATTTCCTTATTTCCTGTCACTTATTTCAGCACCTGGTGTGAAATGCAGCCTGGTTGTATTATGAGTGTGAGAATCTTTTCTGTGTCTTGTAGAACAACCAGGTGGTTGGAGTGGGCAGCGGGTCAACCATTGTCTATGCTGTGGACAGATTAGGTGAGTGAAGCCACTGTAAATCTGACTTTTGTAATGTTTGTCGCACACAAAGCATATGGTTGAGGTTCTGTTCCAGAGGTAGTAAGTAAATAATGTATTTATGCTGCACTTTGCTTTACAAAGCCACATAAAAACTGTAAAGCTAAGATTAAAAATGCAAAAAAAAAAACACTGCACACAATAAAATAAATGATACAAACATAAAAACCAGAGCTGGTAAACCTGAACAGGTTTGTGCGTCAGATATAGTGCAAATTTCTCTGCTTTTTACTACACAAGTGAATTGCTTAATATATCAAGCAGGAGCAGCAGCATTTGGGTTTTTTATCACCAATGCAAAATGTAACAGCACTATTGATTCTTCTGTTCTTAAACTGTGTTTGTTTATTTGTTGCAGCGGAGAGAGTTCGTCAGGAGAAGCTCAACATCGTGTGCGTGCCCACCTCCTTCCAGGTTAGTTTGGACACTTCAGTGGAGACCAACACGATCCATTATTGTCATGCAACACCAAGTGTTTGGTAACTGCGTGCAGCATTGTGGCTTTAAATGCAATGTGTTGCCTCACAACATCTTTTCCGACTTGTTTTTAAAATGAGATTGACACATTCGCAGATGCATTACAAGTGACTTGCGAGAGAAGAGATAGCAAATCCTACATTTCTGACATGAATTAAATGTACTTCTTCTATGCTTAAAAGGAAACACAGTAAAGTGTATCACAGCTTCTCCCTGGCTTCCTGTCTCATTCCTGCGCTTTCCCTCCCACAGGCTCGTCAGCTGATTCTGCAGCACGGCCTCACACTGTCGGATCTGGACAGGCACCCAGAGGTATGACGGGCCTGTTACAAATGAATCTGAAAGCCGTGGAAATGAGAAAGGGCCACAATATGTTGGCGCTCAAAACCCTGTCAGCTTGAATTGGAGCGTTGTGGAAAATTATGCTTGTGCAACTGAAAGAGAAACATAAACGGTGGAGCCCTGAGTGTGGAATTTTTCTAAGCGTAGAGACTGTTCCCAGAGTCTGTGCTTAGTTTCCTTCTTGTGTGTTAAGTCGTTTCTTTACATTCCCACCACGCAGCTGGACGTGGCGATCGACGGAGCAGACGAAGTGGACGCAGACCTGACGTTGATCAAAGGCGGAGGGTGAGTCCAGTTCTGCGCAGACAGCAGAGCGACAGCTGTGTTCCCTCTGACATCTGTCTCACACCTTTTTCCCTCCGTCCCACAGCGGCTGCCTGACTCAGGAGAAGATTGTAGCCGGCTGTGCTAAACATTTCGTCGTCATTGCCGACTTCAGGTTTGTGTTTGCTACTTTACCTTGAGAAAGTGCGACGATATTTTTGCCAATGAGTAAAAAGTGGATTTATTTAGTGGTTTGCAATTTAAGATTTGTTAAATCTATATGTATTAGCTGGTTGAGAGGCTGCTGTTTTCTGGTTTGTACGTTGCACAAGAGACTTTAATTGCATCTTTGTATCAAGCTGCATCAGCAAAGCCTTGGAGAAGTTTGTTTTAGCTTCTCAGCATTAACTGAATATTTTTGAAATAACAAAGGAGTTAAAGTTTTTGTGTGTGATCAGCTTGTCGACGGCCTCTCTGCACTGTGCCTCAGGGCTTTGGAGTCATTCAGGTGACTTATTGATCGTTGTAAACTGGCTTTCGCACAGCTAGAAACCACATCACCCTACGCTGCCTTTCTCCTTTACTTCTTATGTTTTTTTGACATTTGTAAAAGTCATTGTTTTCTGCCTAACTTTCCCACGTGAAGTAAAAACAGTGACTGTATAATTCTGCACCAAGAGAAAATATTTCCAGATGGCGTAGCTAAGGATAAGTTAGTAAAAATGTGATGTGATTTAAGCTGTGTCTGTGTTTAAAAGTGTGTGTGTGTGTGTGTGCGTGTGCAGATTTAATTCTTACTCTCCTCTGTTTTGTTTCCTGTTCTCTCCTCTCAGGAAAGACTCCAAGGCTCTGGGCCAGCAGTGGAAGAAGGGAGTTCCTATTGAAGTGATCCCCATGGCGTACGTTCCTGTCTCCAGGACGATAGCCAAACGCTTTGGAGGGGAGGCCAAATTACGGATGGCTGTCAGTAAAGCAGTAAGTGGACGATTGGCTCGGATTCTGTATCCACCACTTCTATTTATTCTGCTGTCGGAGCGGCAGCTCTCTCTTTTTGTCACAGCAGCAATTTCACAATTACTCACTGCTTTTCTTTGTGCTGCTTCTGGGTGGAGTCGTGTTTTCATACAGGACTGTCCGGGCTCAGTCTCTTCCCTGGGGTCTGTGATGGTCCCGAGGTCCAGGTTGAGATTAATGTGTGGCGATACCTTTTCGTAGTGACAGTAAAACTTCACAATCACCTTCTCAGAGAGGATCAGAGCAGCTAAAGCAGCATAAATAAAAGCATTATATAGTTTTTCTAATGCAGGCTCTTCTTCATGACACACTGCATTTTTACTTCATGTTTTGACTCCACTCCTCTCTGTGGAGATAATGAAATCACAGGATTCAGCAGAGGGTGAAATAGTGGATAAAGCGTCTTCAAGGTCACAGGTCCGTAGAACAGCCTGTGTCCTCGAGCGAGACACTGAATGAACCTTTACCTGTTGAGTCACTGCCTGTGGAGCTTTTCACTTCTATTAGTGCTAAGGAGCCGGTTTTTCTTTACACAAGTGGGTCCTTGTTTTGTCACGTGCACATGCACAAGGACACACACACGTGCATGGAGATGCTTGTGACGTGTTTCACAGTCCCACCAATGGTTTCACACCGTCCGACTGATCTACAGGTGGTGATGAGCTGCCAACATATGCAGCCAGGAAAGGAAGGAAGACTGTAAGCTAGCAGACATCGATGTAAACAATGGGTCGCTCCCACTTGCAGTGTTGAGCAGTGAAGTGTGTGTCAGATAGGAGGAAAGTGTGTCCTGTGTCAGAGGAACGCAGATGCACACAGAACATTTAACCTTACACCAGTCTATCTGTAAGCTTCATATCCAAACAGTATAAACAAGGCCGAAGCCTCATGTACCGATCGACCTGACACTGTCAACGTCAGTATTAGATTTATTTTAGTAGGTTCCATACTTTAAATGTTACCAGACAGAAACTATCAAAATAAAACGTTATGTTTCTCATGTACAGTCAACCTGACATTCCTGTAGCTAACTCCCTTTAATTACTCTCCAAGTTTTTCCTCCTCAACTCTGCAAAGTGTTTTTTTTTTCTTTTACCGCCATCTGACTGTATGTGTGAAACCGTGAAGTTATCTGAGCTCAGTTGTGCCGTGTACAGTATCTGTGTGAGTGACAGACTGTTCTTATTAGTCAAGTGTGTCCCACTGAGCTCTGATAAACCTCCACATGCTCGCAGTCTTTACAGGCGTTCGATCAGTGTCACACTACTGACCACTGTGACGACTCTCTAATACTGAAGTGTGGACAGTGGGACAAACCCAATTCAGGGTTTAAAATGCTGTAAAATAAAAAAAACAGTTATGTAAATGAGTCGGGGGGGATGGAAGGAAATGCATTCACCACATTTGTTAAAGAAACACAGTGTAAAAAGCAGTTTTGTTTGTTTTCAGGAGAACTCCACAGGGCATCTTTTAAGGAAAGGCTTACCACAGTCAAACGGTACAGCCTGCACTGAAAACAGAGGGCAACACACACCTACACATGTACTGCGTCTGCCTCATTAACAGCCCATAGAGTCCAGCTTTAATGATTCACCTCCTACTCACTTCTTTTAAATGAACAACATCCAGCAGGAGACACGAGTGCCTGTTTTATTATTGCGGCTGTTTATGTGTTTACAGTTCATTTCGACTGTTGAGCCCGTAAACAGTTTGTGTGCTAAAGAGCGGGACAGGTCCCAGTTTGTTTGTCCAGGAAGCCTCGATGATTACACACAGGCTGTTATTTAATCTCCACTTGCCTCATAGTCGCACGTGAGCACTTCATAATCACAAAAGTTAAAGTTGGTAACCCTGAAATGTATGTTTGCTGGCAGCCCGTCCTGAGTGTGCGATTAGCATTTACAGGAACTTGTGACTTGTGATGTTGGAAAGAGTCTGGGACCTGAATTGTGTCCGTGTTTCGCTCTCAGGGTCCTGTGGTCACCGACAACAGTAACTTCATCCTGGACTGGAAGTTTGAGCAAGCTCAGAACTGGAAGGAGGTGAACACTGCGATCAAGATGATTCCAGGTGAGGAGCCGACAGACGACAGCTCTTGGTTTGTAAAGTTCAGTGCAGCTGAGTTTGGATGAAGGTGTTTAATCAGCTGCCAACAAATCGTCATCACACACACAACATCTCAGAAATGGGAAGTGATCGTGCAAGACATTTGAAAGGTGTTAAATGTGCAATTTGGATTCGAGCTTGACGACTGTTGCCCAACAAAACGCTCAGTGTCTCTGTGTGTCCTCCTCAGGTGTGGTGGAGACGGGGCTCTTCGTCGGCATGGCTGAGCGGGCCTACTTTGGGATGGAGGATGGAAGCGTGCAGGTTCGGGATCCTCCAGTTAACTGAGGAGTTTGCCACATTCAGCGTCGTCACCCTCCCCTCGAATGACCTCAACTCTCTCCCGCAAGTGCCGCCTTCGTGATTTACGCCCCGGTCTCAGACTGGGTTTGGACAGAGCTGCGCCTCCGGCAGATCTGGACAAAACTGTAGCAGGGAAGTTTTCACACATCTCAAAACCAGATACACATCCAGGATCACTTGATTTTTCTCATCCTGCAGGTGGTGCTTCCGATTCTGTGAGTTTTTAAAGTGCCTGATGAGTAAAATCAAGTCCATCTGACACACAGTTTGTTTGTTTTTTCATTCTATATCGTTGCTCGGTTTGGCCGCCTGGTCACACTGGGAATGTTGGCTCTTCCTGTAATTACTGGGTTTGACTGAATGTCTGCAGTGCTACGGTTCTCAACCCGTGTGGTGAGTCGCTGCTGTTCTGCAGGATGAAACTAAGGTGTGCCTTGTGATTATATTTTAAGTCCTAATAAAAGAAACAACGCTATTTAAAGCTACGTTTGAAAAGCTCATAATCCTACATCAAACTATTATCATCTGCTGCAAATAAAAGTCCACCAGTCAAGTGAAAGCTCACGGCATTGTAAGCAGTAAAGAAAAAAAGAAAAGCTGATATGCCCTGAAGTCTTTTAGTTTAATTGAACCACAGAAGGAGGAGTAATGACAACAACTTAAAGAAGTTAAACTTTTTTTCAAGAAATTAATTTGTCTAATTAATATGCTACTTTAAATAGCAAGAAGCTCCAAAAATTAATGAGATCATTGACAGTTTAGAGGAACCCTGTGGTGCAGGTTTGAAGCTTCCATTATTTGGTCATTGTGTTTAATATAATTGACATTGTTTGGCCTGTAATAAATACAACATGTGTTTCACTGGTATGGAAGCAGAGACATGTCAACACAGGGTTTGAATAAAATAAAAAATAAAGTTGTGCTGTCACTCATCTCATTTAAAGTGATTTTGCTTTTGTTTTTTGTTTTTTTTCTACCATCTCAGCCAATCAGCTACATTCACCGACATGTCTGTCAATCTGCAAACAACTCCGTTCTGTCACATGGTTCCTTCACTGTGAGCAGAACCAGCTGGACAGTTATAGCTATAGGTTAAATGTGGTGGGTCCGCTGCTCAGCGGGGTTCATAGTCATGATGTAGCAGTTGAAATGTAACTCTCCCTGGTGTTTGAAGTTTAGCGTATAATTGCCACTGTTGCCATGGAGCAGTGATCTGCTTTCTTCTCTGAGTAAAGACAGAGTTTGAGAAATCTTTGTGGTTTCCTCTCAGTTTCAACAGGGGATCCTGTAGCTACACTAGTCACGTCAGTAGGATTAAAGTCCACAGCCTCACTGAATGTGTGTTCTTTTCTGCATGTACCTCCCTCTACTGTGTTTGCTCTGTTTTTGTGCCTGTATATCAGTTGCATGACCGTCTCTTATTCCTTACACGAGGGGTCCGGTCACAGGAAGTCTTGTGTCATAAACTTAAATCCTAAATGAATGTTTTAAAGTAATGACGATCGGCAGTTATGCTTTAAAAGTTTCACATTTAATGAACTGTGCTGTTCAAATATGAACTAAAACGACCCTAAGTACATTTTATGTGCCTTGGCACGCCAGAGCGATAGAACGTTGTCCTTATTTCAGATGTAGTAAAATTCACTGGATGTGTTGCTGGTCATGTTGGAAACATTAAAGTTTCACTAATAGCTGCAATATTTAGTTTTCGGAAAGCGGTTCAATATATAATTGTGTCAGAAATGCCGTAGTTGGGGACAAAAGATGAGTCTCTGAATTTGTCTTCGGCTCTTACAAAGAAACAGGATATTTCCTGTCTGGCTCAGTCGTTCTCTCTCACCTTATCTTTACTGAATTTTATGTCTAGTTCTGGATCTTTACAATAACAAATCTTTATAAAACTGTACAGTGCAGCTTTGAAGATGCAGAAAGTTTGAGTGAAATAATGTCTCAAGTCCACAGCACGGTGCTCAGTTTAATTATCTTAAAATACTTGGGAGTTTATTTACAGAACAGAACAACACCCGTCCTCTCAAAAAGTAATGAGAAGCGCAGCGTTCCTTTTCTGAAAAAAGTCCAGTTGTGTTTCTTTACTTTCGCTGTTCAGAGAAACCATCATTTGTTTGGGGTTAGTGATAGTTTGTCATTTTGTTTTTCCCCGGGTGACTAATATCTTTCTAATTGAAATGCAGCTCTTCACTCAGCTTTTTGGCGCACCATGCCTTACACTCTGGTTTTATTTTTGTACCTCTTTATGTTTTTGTATGTACAGCTCTGAGAGACTCAGGAGAACATCGAGGCTGGGAGATTTAATACAAGCAAGCAAATGCAGTTGGCTGGCACATTTTTTTCTAAAAGCCATGGTTATTTGATACGAGCAATCTGACTCTATTCTGGTCTAATGTTACCCTCATAAACCAAATGGAAGTGACTGAATTTTGGAATGTGTAACCCCCCGAGGGGCCTGTAGACAAAGTAAAAGTTAACTGAACTGAGAACATGTGGCCCAGTTTTGGTAAAATACAGTGTGTGCACCATGTTGGATATTTTTGCACCAGCATTTCTTTTCTTTTCTTTCTTTACCAATTGACTGTGATAATGAATTTTGCTGTGATGGTACTATTTTCTTTGTGAATCAATACAGGACCAAAATTATATCTGTAAGACTCCTTGTTTTATTTCTGATGATTCATTCTTGTCTCTTCTTAATAATATGATGTGGTGAAGCACAGACTAGATATAAGAGCAGAAACAGTTAGTTATTCATCAGAAAATAAACTGGCAACAGTTTTGATAAGAATTGTTTGTTGTTTTTAAGGCAAAAAATGCCAAATCATTCACTGGTTCTGGCTTCACAGTTGTTATTTGCTGGTTTGCCTAGTCTACTATAGTAAACTGAATATATATATATTGTTTGTCAGACAAAACAAGCTACTTGAGCTCTGTAAAATTGTGTTATTTCTCTATTTTCTGTTCATTTATAGACCAATCCATTAATCAACAAATACCCAGGAGATTAATTAATAATTATTCTGATGACCCAAGCCTGTATTGTTTCGTAAATACGGGATAGTCTTAAGTTTCCATGTCAAAGACGATGGGAAATTAATTTTCCAACCAAAGATGACAGCTTAATAAACACCTTGAATGTGCCGTTCTCCTTTCTGGCCACTTGGGGGCGCTAGAAATGCAAAGTGCTTACTGCGAGCACAGCAGACTGGGTTCACGATGACCTCATATACCACCCAAAATCATAATAGAATCTATTATACATGCGTTGACCAACTGTATGTACCGCCACAAATGCTTCATGTGATACGTTTAAAGTAACTGTCATCCAAGTGCACATTAATTAAAACACAATTAAGGAACTTGATAGCTTCGTGTATGACATGTTTTACATAAATTAACTTAAAAAAAAAAAAATAATAATAATTCATGGTTTTAGAGTAACTGACGGACATTATGTCATCACCCTTTACGACTGTTTATCGCAAAGTGAAAAAAAACATAACTCGTGATCAGGAACAGGAACTGTCCCTATCATCTACACTACAGCCACGTTGATGCTTTCATGTCGGCTGTCTTGACAACTACTCATGAATGACGGGTGAAATATCGAATCTGGCGCTTACATTCAGTTATCGGAGGGTACAACTCGACCAATCGCTTTGCAGCTCATCGGCGTCGTCTCTCCTATTGGACGGACGACGGCACATACCACCAATCACATGTTCAGTACTGGATTCGCCATCGGGGATTTTTTTTTTTGCGTCACCTCTTGCTCCAGTTGCCAGTGCGCCTGCGTCGTTTTGACAGACAGCGGATCGGCCAATGGAGTGCACTGTTTGGGGGGCTGGCACGTTCTACGCCCGCCTCTATGAGTGACAGATGCCTGATCCAATCGTCGTCTGCTTAGTATGGTGTATGTGTGACTGACAGCCAACGGACCAATGAGAAACGGTTACATGAATTTTTAACGAACGTAGAGATTTTATTGTCCAATCCTCGTGTAGAAACAAGGTGGGGCTTAGCGTTACCAAGGCAAGTCTGAGTCAAGTATAAAGGGAATAACATGGTGTCCCAGTGGCTGTTTATGTTTACTTAAAGAACAGATTTGAAAGGGCGTTTTGCAAGACACAACGGAGTTTTCTTTATAGTTACACGGTTTTTTTTTTTGCACTTTAAGTTTTTTATGTTAAGATTTACAAGGCCAGTGGCATGTAAATCTCATATTTCACTAATGTGCCAGTCTTACAAATGGAAAGGGGGCTTCACTTTGGAAACGTGAGCATTTCCCTGGTGCTCCTGCTGTTGGTGAAAGCGCTCATCGGATTCGGGACTTCGCAAGCTCAGGGCTCCGCCATCGGGAGGGAGCCGCAGTCCGTCACCCGGAGTGCAGGTTCGACCTCGGAGGAAGATGGTGCAGGAGTCATGAAGCGGGGCTTGGACAACCTAGGTACCCCGGTCATTGGAGCAGACGTTACCGTGGAGGACGACGAGAACGGGTCGGCCGGCGAGGCCGATGAATCTTATGGAGAAAGTAACGGAAACGTCCGACGGACAAGGTAAATTGTTTTTGAAACTTGTCAAGTGTAATGGACCTCTGTCAGCTAACTGCTGGACACCCATTATCGGACACGTTCAGTTTGACACGTGTTTTCAGCACCTGCAAAGTGTGTATGACCTCCAAAATGACGAATTAACAAAATGAAAGATTGCAAACCCCCATTCAGTGGGATTTAACTAGCTAAAATGTCGCATTCACCGGCTCTTTAGCTAGCCAACGTACAGTCTTGTGATTTGGACGGATGCTGAATATTCTTCCGCCTCAGCACCGCACTCAAAACTTGTTGTGGACGTGGTTGTTGGTGCTCCAGCGGTTTAAAAACCTTGTCTAGTGTGTATTCCTCCAGCTCTTCTCCCCAAAGTCTTGACAAATTATCGTAGAAGAAACGTTAACCGGTACTAGTAGCTGTCAGGGCACAAAACGGGTAAAACACGGCGCTGACGAGCGAATTTAACACCGTGTCCGATAATGGGCGCAGAGTTCTGACCAAAGTTTGGATGGAAATTGCGTGAAAAACAGTCACCAAGGTATATCACATTACCTAAAGCCAGCTCCGTCTTAGTTATTATTCGTGGTTATTTTTTGCATAGAAGCCATCGTATGTTGATACAAGTGAAAGTTACTTTTAGAAAGTAGACTACACATTTCTTTTTCTGTTTGGGCATGTCTGTGCAAAATGCGTTTTCACTTCATCGACCGGAAAGTTTGTGAGACGTACAGTAGGCGTCAACTGTTGTTTTCAAAGTTTCCGCAGTGAAACTGAGATTTAACAGGATGTTGCTTGGGTTCGCTGAAAGTTGTAGCTATAACATATGTGCTGGAAATACAAGTCACGTTATAATCCTGATCTGTCACTCTGCGGTCATGGGTTCACTTGAGTCCACCAGTATATTGTGATATATACGTTTCTGTGTGGTGCTTGTTGTCACCCCTTCGCAAACTCTTGATTTAGTTGTCATTCTGCACTGTGGAGTTGCTCCTCTCCATTTTCCATTTGTTATCATACAAAAATCACAGTATGAATGGAACATTCCTTATCACCTGACAACAGAGACACCATCCTCTCATCATCCTCAGCTTATCTCCTCCTGTCAGCAGACAGGCTACTCATGAGCTGAGACAAGTGAAGTTAAAATAAAGTAGGAGCCTGTTTATGTAATTAACCACAGTTTATTGGGAATTTATCAGAAGAAGCAAGTGAAAATGTTGGTGGTCGTTTATAGTTGGCTCGGCTGAACAAGGATTAAGATTTCACACTTCAGCTCAAACGTTTTCCTTCACATGTTGTGATGCTGCCTGAGTGCTTGGATCTGTAGTTATTATTACAAAATAGAAGTTTTAAGCAGGGTTGTTTTGCTTGAGATAAACCTTTTTGTTCCATTGAGGGGAAATGTCTTAAGTGTGTGCTCTGCATGGCAAGCAGAGTTTACATTTTACGACATATTATCATGCAAAGGCATTTCACCCTGCTGAGAAAATCCCCAGGATCCTGCTTGTCACAAGTTTATTGCTTTACACAGATCGCAGGTTCACCAAACCCTGTTAGACATACTGCTGCTGCCCAAAGTGAGAAGCAGTTCTTGGCGCAGTGGGTAGGGCATTGATTTTGTCTTCCTTGGTAAACAGTAGGTTTGACGCCCACCTTTAGATGTTTGGCGCAGTGTGTTCTTCATGATGTTCCTTCTCTCTGCCATGATGTTGTTATCATTTTTGTTTTTACCGGGACATCACATATAGTTTAGACTGTGACGCAGCCTCTCGAATCATTCTTATTTCAATGCCTTTCCTTGTTGAGGTATATCAGGTCTCTTACTTAATTATTCTCTGTGTAGTCTCAGAAACATGCTGTGTGCTTTTCAAGAGGGAGATGGATCAAAGTAAGTCATGAAATTGAAAACATTGTTGGAGTCAAACCTGTTTTGAAGGTTTTTGGTGCTGTTTCTTTATTGTATTACTAAAACTTGCTGCTACCGTACCTACATGGTGATAAGGATGCAACATGTTTCCCATTTGCCATCAACCTTTTTAATCTCGAGGTTCACTTTAAAGCTTTCTGACAACCCCCTAAGCATCATAATATTTATTTGAGATTCAATACAAACCCAGCTTTGTCACCACAGGGAGCTACAGAGCACACTGTGCAGTCAGCCTCAGAAAGCTCAAGTTGAGAGGAATAGGTGTGATTAGTTGTTACATATGTTGTTTTGGGAAAAGTTGTGTAAGACGAGGAAGAAGTGTTTTTACATGGTGGTCAAAGGATAAAATCTTTGTGTACTTCACTGCACAGACAGACAAGAGGTGGCGTACAGTTTACCCCTACTGCACCACCAAGGTCACAAACTTATTGGGATAAAAGTGGTGGTGAAATAACTCAGGTGCAAGTACAACACATGGTGAGGGACTTAAAGGCTCCTGTCTGTCATCTGCATTACAGTATCAAGAAGAAATCGAAGGCAATTAGCAGAGCGGTTCGCTGTGATAGGAGCGGGCTATTCCCCTGCCAGGCACCTCAGCTGCTGCAGGAAAACTCCTGAGCGTTCATCCTGCTGCTGGTCACACCCTGCCACTGCTCGCTTTCTGTGCCTGCATCGAGTCCTATACAGTATATCTACCGGTGTCTGTCACTGTCTGCCGCGCTTTCCCTTCCTCTCTCACTTTGTCACAGTCTGTATCTCCCACTTTCTCTTCTCATTCTCTCATCACTGCCTGTCTGGCGCCACTAATTGGCTCTGAGTCATCTCATATCAGTCACTTTTTGGGTAATGCATTTAGAATACATTATGGTATCAAAAGTTTTAGTGATTCCTTTCTCTTTTTCATTTTGGTTGAATACATTTAAAATATACTATAAATATTGAGCTCACAAAGCCTCATGTCAAGCAGACAATTGCAACTTGTCTAGTTGTGTTATTAGCTAAATAATAATAATAATAATAACAGTTTTATTTCTGTCACTTTTCAAAATGCTGCCACACAGCGTAGAAATTTATACACCAGTTGACAAAATAAAGAATTAACTAAGTAGCTTGTGAGGCAGACACAATAATGAGCAGGTGAATTATTCATTGAAAAGCCTGTGTGTAAAAC